GCTTTGGCCTTTTAACGGCAACCTGGCTCAGGTGGTAGCACTCCCGCTACTGAGTTAGAAAGTTGTGGGTTCAAGATCCCATGTTGGTACTTTGAGTTCCTATTGGAGTTCTTGGAGAGCAGTGCATTATCAGAGGTGCCTTCCTTCAGATAAGACGTTAAACCTAGGTCCCGTTTGCCTCTTCAGACATTAAAGATCCCATGGCAATATTCAAAAGGAGAAGGGAGTTTTCTCCTTTGCCTTGACCAAACGTCCTACAGATAAAATTGAATGCTCACTGCATAGCTGATTGTGGGACATCGCTGTGCGTAAATTGACTTCCACGTTTGCTTACAAATATGCAGTCAATGCACTTCAAAGTAAAATCCAGTGAAGCACTTTGAGATGTCTTAACCTGATAAGCTACTACATCAAATGCAGGGATTATTTATTTTTTATTATTAATGGTGTTTCAAACCTAATGCACAATGATTGCTGGAGCCTTTAATCTTTGCAAATGCCATGTAGCTTATAACTTGCACAGAGTGCCTATTGCCTCTCTTTATGGTTAAACACAACAGATAAACACTTGCAATTTGTTAGGGCTCCAACGAGCAAGACTGCATTTTGTTATTTAATGGAAGTATAATAATAATTCTGACATTTGATATAGTCTTTCACATTGGGAGGATTCTAAAGCACTTCACTGGATATACAGTAAACCTCACAAGTCGTATTTATGCAAAGTACGAGTTATGTCAACCTTGCGTAGAATAAAAACTCTTGAACAGGACTTGGACAGATGTACAACTTAGGCGATAATACGATTTATACAGATCAGACTTGTGCGAATTTTACTGTACTGTAGAGTTGAAAGGCCTGAAAGTCGCGGCGTAAGGTTTTTATGACTGAAATTGAGCAAATAATCCTAATTCTTTTGATATTGGACCTTGTCATAGCATCAAAGTGACTTAAAGCACTTCACAGGATTCACTGTATTTGTAGACGAACACGGCAGCCCAATGGCCCACAGACAGCCGTGAAGTGAATGAGCAATTTTATTTTGGGGTATTGTTGGCCAGAACAATGGGAGAAACTCCCTTTTATTTTCGAGTCGTGACATAGCGTCATTAATGTTCACCTGAAGAGGCAGATGGGACCTCAGTTTAACGTCTCATCTGAAGGGCGGCACCTCCAACAATGCACAGGCCCCCCAGCACTGCACTGGAGTGTCACCTTAGACTATATGATTCCAAGTCCTGCTGTGAGGGTGTGTCATGAAGGATGGCATCTCTGACATTGCAGAGTTCCCCCAGCGTTGCACGGGAGCGTCAACTGAGACTGTGAGTTCAAAATCCTGGCATTGATTTTTAGTCAGAGCAGAGAGAGGGAGCTGCATAAATAGTTAATCTAAACCTCGGTGAAATTTCTCATCAAATGCCTGTGGTCCAATCTTCTCAGCTATGCAATTACAAGCAGTGTTTACTTTCCACTTATCCATCCTAACAACCAGCCTGAGGTGTTCTCTCCTTGGTCACAGCAAATTTGTATGTTCGTTTCAAAGGTTTCAAATTATTTCTTGGCTGCCACCCAAGAAACCGTTTGGAGAGACGCAACCCATTGATCCTGTTCATTTCTCTGATGACTTTCCCAGCGTCATGCCATTCTTGGTTGTATGAGGCCTTTGCTGCAGTTCTTACTTGCCCCGAGGAAGCTTTCACAATGGCTATAAAGATCCTCTGCTTTCGCTTAGTGGGTCTGCTTCCCTTTGTGGTTACCCTGACAGGGTTTTGCTTCTCAGGCTGTAGTTTCAGTTCACTCCACCCGAGAAGTTCCATGACGTCCCTTGTTTCAGTTCTCAATTAACTCTTCTCTCTCCTTTCTCAGTTTACCAATTGATACCAGTAAAGAATTTAAACCGTGAAGCTTTAACCTGTTTCGCCTTTACTTGCTTTTTTTTCTTTTAGCTCACCGAAAATCCTACTTCAAGTCTCATTAGGAGCATCACTCATTAGGAGCCTCCTGAAATAGCTGCTCATGGTTAGGGAACCTTTTTGTTTACATAGAGCTTTATTAGCTATAATAAGCACACCGGACAACAACAGCAAAAAGATTACATTTGTATAGCGTCTTTCACGTCGGGAGGACGTCCCAAGGCGCTGGACAGAGTACAGCATTTCAGACCCGAGCTGGGGTCAGGGTGGGAGAAGGGAGGGGAGGGGAAGGGGGTTGGCCGATGGCATGGTCGAAGAGGAGGGTCTTGAGGTGGAACTTGAAGGAGGCTAAGGAGGGGGTGAGGCGGAGTGATTGGGGGATGGAATTCCCGAGGTTGGGGGCAGAGTGGCTGAAGGCCAACGGTGGGGCGGGTAGGTCGGGGGACCTGGAGCAGCCAGAGCCGGCTGAGCAGGCAGGTTGGTAGGGGGTTAGGAGATCGCAGAAGTAAGGTGGGGCGAGGTCACGGGAGGCTTTGTATGTGAGGACCAAGATCTTGAACTGGATCCTCTAAAGGATAGAGAGCCAATGGAGTCGGGCGAGAGTGGGAGAGATGGGGTCACGGAGTTTGGTGTGGGAGAGGACACAGGCTGCAGAGTTCTGGATTATCTGCAGCCTGCGGAGGTCAGTACTTCAATTGTACCAAACGTGACTGGTCAACTTAAACAAATACTTAATTCCTGAACGATATTCAAAAAAAATTGTAGTTGTGCAACTTCAACACATCAGGGTACCTGTTCGGGCGCCAATTGTATGGGTTCGATTAAATTTGTGACCCTATGAAGAAGTATGAACTGACACAAACTCACAATTTTCTTCAATTAGTAATTTTTTAATAAAGATTAGCAGGGTTATTCATATCAAAGTTATATGTTTGATCAAATCAAATTAATGTTTACGACGGGTTAGTAAAGTTCACTGCAATGGGGTGATCGGATCGATACAGTGGCTTTGATGGAGGAATCGACTTGTTAACATGTACCAATCCATGTTGATTGTAGTATATCTCTCTTTCCTCGAGATTCTTTGCACTTGGCTTCTTTGTTCCCAAACTCAGCTCTTTTTATTTTATCCCCAAACCTCTGTTCCTTTATACCTCGTAAAGACATACACATTGACCTTGCAAAGATATCTGGATTTAGCTTTACTAAAAGCATCTTTGATCAGACAGCCTCATCCCATCACTGATATCCAGTTATCAATGGCCTTTCTTTTTTTATCAAACTCCCAACAGCTTGTCTAGAATAAGTCTTACTACCACAGATTGAACATTTATTTTTAACGTCCATTATGTAGCTAAAAACAGTGTCAATGATGATGAAGAAAACTTTGTTGTGTAAACATTCTTTCACTCATCCACCATTGTTCTGGACAGCCATGCATTTGTATCATATAGTGAGCCTCTATGAAGTAAATAGTTCAATGAGTCTTTGCAATTTTCTTTGGTCAGTTTAAGACAACTCAGAATTCTGGGATCACTTACACTACTCAGTGGTCAGAGGTTTCCCAGTGACATCAAGTGCTCCAAGACACTGTCCAGCGTGAAGGGTGCTACGTAAATGCATATTGTTGTTGATGTCGAACAATGCAACTATTTTAAAAAAAAGTGCTTGTGGCTGAAGGTTTTAATCAATACTCAGATCTTGCGTTAAGAATGACATTTGCATATTTCAGTCTATTCTCACTACATTTGGGACTGCTTTACAAATGTGTTTTTCCAAACCTTAGCTCTGTGGACATTTCACAAGTGAGGCATGCCTTGTATGTGGAAGCAATTTTTGTCCTTTCTGTCTCACTGGAGGGGCGGGGGGAGGGGATTAAAAAAAAGGGCAATAGTTTATATGAAAGGTGTTTTTCTATAGAAAGATGTTTGCCTATAAATTGTATATGTAATATGTATGATATAATTTAATATATATGCAAAATAGTGCACAGATCTATACAAGCATTCAGAATTCCAATTCATATAACAACAACAAGATTACATTTGTATAGCGCCTTTCACATCGGGAGGACGTCCCAAAGTCATAAAAGGCTTATTCTTTATTGGAAATGGAGTCGGGGCGATCGCTGAAATATTTCCATCCTTATTTTGTGGAGACTGCAGAGCTATTTGCCAGTGTTGTATTGTTGGCTCGGTTAGTCTGTGCTTGATGGTTCATTCTACATAATAGGTGCTCGCCACAGAATGAGTGAGCTTGGAAAGAGCAGGCGCAGCTGAAATTTACAACAACTTAGAAAGGGGCTACTGAAAGGTCAATTGAAGAAGAGAATTCTAAATTTGGTGACTGTGTGTGGTGTGTGTGTATGTGGGTTTAAAAGAAAGATGTTTAATTCTAGCGTGTATCTGGCTTAGTTGATCGTACTTTTGCTTCTGTTGTTGTGGAGTCAGAAGATTGTGGATTCAAGCCCTACATCAGGACTCGGCACCACGTGGCTGATGTTCCAATGCAGCGCTGGGGAGGTGGGGTGGGGGCGGTAGGGGTGGGTGTTGTCTTGTTGGAAGGGCCATCCTTCGGATGAGATGTTAAACTGAGGTTCCTTCTACCTCTTCAGGTGGACATTAAAGATCCCATAATGCTATTACATACACAGTGTCAGTCCACTTTACAACACATTCTGTGAAGCACTTTGAGACATCTCAACGATGTGATAAGGCGACATATCAAATGCAAGGATTATTATTATTATTTGAAAAGAGAAGGGAGTTTCTCCCATTGCGCTGGTCAACAACCCCCCAAATTAAAATTGATCATTCACTTCATGACTGTTTGTGGGACATTGCTGTGTGCAAATTGGCTGCCACATTCGCCCACACACAAAAGAAAAGATCACTGCACTTTACACTAAATCCTGTGAAACGCCTTATGATATCCTACCGACATGAAATGCGCTACACCAAATGCAAGGATGAAATAATGATCCTTGATCCAATGATCCTGATGACATTGCTTATATTTTTGCTTCATGAGAATGATTGTCTTTCATTTGTCTTAACAATCAAAAAAAATTTGCTTTGAAATTCTCAGAAAAGTTGGTGGCCTATCAGCACGAATTCCACGCCCTGAAGGAGCGCCTTCGAGTGGCCGAACACCGAACTTTGCAACGTTCCTCTGAACTGAACACCATTCTGGAGCAGTTCAGACGGGCAGTGGCTATGTCTAATGGCAGCCGAGAGGCCCTGAGCAACTTTTCAGGTAATAACTTAAAAGAGCTCAATAACAGCCAGATGCCACTCATTTGGAGGAATGTTTGATTGTTTGCCCAGGTTAGCTGGGAGACGCTCCTTTCTCTTAAGCCATGTACTTTAGTAAGTAGCAATTTGGACTGAGGGCTCAAAGTGCTAATGGGGTCCTGCAGCTCAGCTGTTAGGGCACCCAGAGACCTGGGTTCGATTCCCAGCTGGGCAAATTGACTCACTCACTCATGGCGGATCGCATTTCTGGGGATAATTAATAATTCCTTCAAAAACTAATAATTGGTTAATTCAAATCCACAACTGTTTGTGGGACGCTGCTGTGCACAATTGGCTGCCGCGTTTCGCCCATAAAATATACGGTCAATTCACTTTACAGTATATTCTGTGAAACGCTCCGAGGCGTCTAAAAGACGTAATAAGGCGCTATATCAATTGCAAGGATTATTATTATTATTGAACCCATAATCTTTTGGCCCAGGGTTGAGAATCCTACCAACTGAGCCAGACTGATGTGCTATTTTGCTCTAATGAATGCTCTAAACCGGTTAAGTCACCTATTGTAATAAACTGCACAATGTTATACTGACGACACACCCAGCTCAGCTTGGTATGATTTGTACATATTTGAGTTTGTATATTGTTATAGCTGTGTAACGTTATACAAAGTTGCAGTTCCAATTAACAAGAGATTGAATAATGTTATGCCCGGGGTGTAGTCTAGAAAATTGCTCTGGCACCTGAAACATGGAACAAAGAGATACGCCAGTGAGAGGGTGGGTTGGGTTGATGGAAAGACAGATGATCCCATGGGAGCATGGTAGAGGAGGTGGATGGTCCAATAAGAAGAGACTGCTGCGTTATAGTATTTTAGTGCTTATTTTTTGTGATTCAATTTTAAAGATATAACAGTCAAAAATAACTTGTTTTTGTTAAAATCTCTTACCAGTGAAATTAAAGTAAAACATTGGATTTTTTAAAAAGAAAATTCTCATCCTTTAAATTGTAAATGCCTCTGGAACATTCTGCAAGTATTTGCAAGCGTTTATAAGGGAAGTTATAACTTGTTGTAACAAGTTATGACATAATGACATAATTTTGTCTGATCCAACATTAAGCAGACTCAATTATAAAATAATTGTTTCATTTGACTAACCTCAAATTGATAGCATGACTGTCAACAAATGATGTCTAGACCAAGGTTCCAAGGATTCAATATGTATGGTTTCTAGACCAAAGTAGTTTTTTTTAATGTTTTGGGGCTTTGGTTTGCAAGGTCAATGGGAACTGAGTGGGAAGAAAATCCCAACGACTAGTCTGTCTCTCCGAGTCCAGCTGATGAGCCACGTCTGTTATCAGCAATGTGCTGGAGTACCGCAGACCCGCCTGCCTCAGGAACCGTTTCTTCACTTGTAATCAAGGTCGTGAGTTTTATCCCCCATCCTTCAAACTGGGATTCAGCCCTCAGTGAAATGTTTTCTTTTTGATCCATTATTGGTATTGCATAACCTTTTAATCGTATATTGTATTAGAACTTATGGTTTTATATTGGAAACAAAAGGATCACTCCGGTGACAGGTCAGCTTTATAGAATTTTTATGCCTTTACATTGGGATTGTATGACCACAGCTGCAAGCACGTAGATTGTACAGCACGGAAATGGACCATCCAGCCCAGCGGTCTATGTATCAATGTTAATACTTCACATGAGTCGAATGAGATGTGTTCTATCAATCTCATTTGTTGTGTTTTCAGATGACACCAAAAAGCTGCTGAAAGATCTGACTAACAAAAATGTCCTACAAGTGCCAAATATCTACCACCACTTACCCCACTTACTTAACAGTGAGGAAAGCCTTCAGCCCGCTGTGCAGGTCGGCCTTGGTCGGACTGGGGGTGAGTATAAAAAAAAAGCTGGTAACACAACAACAACTTGAATTTATATAGTGCACTTCACACGGTGCAGGATCCCGGAGGGCTTGAAGAATGCTATAAGTAGGTTTGATTGGGCTCCTGCGATGGCATAGTATCTAAAGATACAATACAAAATTACATTTGTATGTCGGGAAGATGTTCCAAGGCGCTGAACAATCAAGTAGCACTAGCTTACTGCTTAACTATTATTTTTTTACTGTTTAGAGTTCAGAGCAAATCATTAGCTCAGAACAATTGACCTCACATGAGAAAAAGCAGTGAAAATAATACTCAAAGTGACAACACGCAAACTAGTTTCATCTGGCGTCTTGACCTACTATAAACTCAAACTTTAAAAACAAAATATTTGACATTCTTCCTTCCTCCACCTCCACCCCCATAAAATGGATTAATCACTTCATTACGGGGAGTGGGATTGATTTGGATAGCACTTTTCAAAGAGCTGGCAGAGACACGATGGGCCGAATGGTCTCCTTCTGTGTTATATAATTCTATGATTGCTGTGGGTGACATATTGTGTGTAAATTGCCTGCTGCATTTGTCTGCAAAATACAGATACTACACTTTACAGTAAATCAAATCCTGTGAAAGGCACTTTATCAAATGCATGGATTATTAGTATTACTATTTGCTCTGGGTTGTGTAGGTGGATATGATAGCTGGTAAATAGATGTGACTCACTTACACATTAGGTGGCATTGTTTAGTATGGGATAAACCCATGAGATAATGATTTTTTACTATTTCAGCTATTTGTCATTCATTGAATCACTACAGGAAAATACTGTTAAATGCCAAAATCCTCTGTCTCCAATACGATATGCAGTTTACATAAGGCCTGCTGTGATGACGATCAAGACAATAGCATTTTCACAAGATCACAAGAGTGGTATCATCCTTCCAGAACACCCACCCTACCACCCGCTCTTCACAACATCAAGCTGTCCAGCATCTTGGTCTCAACCGCCGTTCCTGGCAACTTATTCATTCATCACTTAGCCTCTGTGTAGAGATAGTTGTGGGTGTCTCCCCTGAAAATGCCCTTGGCAAACATAGAGACATAGGAACAGGAGTGGGCCATTCAGCCCTTCGAGTCTGTTCCACCATTTAATTAGATCATGGCTGATCTGTACCTCAACTAATCCTTTCAATTCCAATTTCCCGCTTTTTCCCCATATCCCTTGATATCCTGACCTATCAAAAATCTATCAACCTCTCTCTTGAAGGTGGGGATGGATCCAGACCTAAAGCTGGGTCCTTTTGTTCTGCTTTCTCAGTGCATCAGAAAGTATTGTTCTGGGATTCCATTCTCAATTCCTTTTAATCTCTGTAAGATCCCCTCTGAGACATCTCTATTGAAGACTGCGCCCGAGCTCATCTAATTGTTGCTACATTGAAAGTCCTTCATCTGACATATTGCCTTTTGTGTTACCTGAACCTGAATTGTCTGAGTCTGTGTTAAATCCGCTTTATATTTATTATTGATCCTTAATAAATTGAAGGATCAACAACAAATTGCATTTATATAGTGCCTTTCGAGAGAATGTCCCAAGGCACTGGACAATGAGGGGTTCCCACCCGAGCTGGGGTTTGGGGTCAGAGAGGGATGGAGGGCAAGCAAGGTGGAGGAGGGAAGATGACTGAAGGCACAGTCGAAAAGGAAGATTTTGAGATAGGCCTTGAAGGAGGCAAGGGAATGGGCTCTGGGATGGAGTTCCAGAGGGATAAATAAGCATGTTTGTGCCAAATTCCATATCAGCTGGTCAGAGAAGTGTAATTATTAATAATGATCCTGATATATAATTATCACATCGTCCAAACATCTCAAAGCGCTTCACAGGATTTTTACTGTAAAGTGTAGTGACTGCATATTGGTAGGTGAATGCAACAGCTAAGTTGCTCCCAGCAACGTCCCACCAACAGCTAAGAGGTGAATGTCCAATTTTATTTATTTTGGGGCTTGTTGGCCAGGACACCAGGAAAAACTCTTTGCCAATCGTGCCATGGGATCTTTAACGTCCACCTGAACAGGTAGACTTGACCTAGGTTTAACCTCTCTCCAAAGGACAGCACCTCCAGTCATGCTATTCTCTCCCCCTCGCCCCCCTCCCAAACACTGCATTGAACCGTGAGGTGCAAAGAAGCATTCCTGAAAATTCAGACTGTTTTTTAAAGAAGAAAACGATTTAAAATTAGTTGTTAAATGATTTTTTTTCCTTAAGTTTCCCTCGTGCAGTGATTTTCCAAATCAAATTGATGATGATGGAAGATCCCAAGATTACAACATTTTCTGTTTGTTGCAGCCATGAATACCACCTTGATTACCTTGACTACCTACTAATTTTATTTGGGGGAATGTTGGCTGGGACACCAGGAGAAGTGGAAAGAAGTGACTGGTCTGCTCCTTCAGTTCCTGGTGAAGAGCCAGAGTGTCTCCTCCATCACCAGCAGTGCCCTGGGGCTCTCTGACCTGCACATACCTCACTCATAACAATAATAATAATCCTTACATTTGATATAGCGCTTTTCACGTCGGGAGGACGTCCCAAAGCGCTTCACAGAACACACTGTAAAGTGAATTGACTGTTTATTTGTGGGCGGACGCGGCAGCCAATTGCGCACAGCAATGTCCCACAAACAGTCATGGATTGAAAATGACCAATTTATTATTTTTTTTTGGAGGGATTATTATTAGGCTCTGTGTGGAGTAAGGAAACTTGCCCGAGGTTTCGCCCTCTGCCTGGAATTGAACTCAGGTCTCCCACTTGCAAAGCGAGTGCTCTAACCACTGAGCTACAGGACTGAGCTCATCTGCCCATGCCCTTCTCTCAGCTAATCTGGGACTTCTGCGTGTCCCCTGAATCCTCTGCTTCACATCTCATGGCCATGCTTCAGCGACTATGCCCCTAAACCTTTGGAATTCTCCTCCTCAATCCTTCCATCTCACCCCTTCCCTCTCTCTTTAAATCCTGCCTTAAGACCTCCCCTTCTCCCCTTGTTTGGAGTTCAAACTATTATCCGTGAAGGGTGATATATTAAATGCAAGTTGTTGCTGTTTTATTTGGGTTCAGATTCAGGCATTTCTTTTCACTTCCACCCACTCAGCTCCTCTTTACCCTGCAAACCAAGTCTGGATTGTTAAGTCCTTCCTTCCAGCAATTCCGTTGAGTTGTGATAATTGCCTCCATACATTCCCCTTGGATTTCTGTGTAATAATTCCCTCAAAAAAAATAATAAAATAATGTTTTGGTCACTCAATCCATGACTGTTTGTGGGACAATGATGTGCGCAATTGGCTGCTGCATTTCGCCCACAAATATACTGTCAATTCACTCTACAGTATATTCTGTGAAGCACTTGTTTTGAAGATGTGATAAGGCGCTATATCAAATTCAAGGATTATTATTATTAACCATTATTTATTGAAAAGTCCACTCATTTGTTAGATCAAGACAGGTGTGCCTTGAAGATGGGGATGGAGGAGGCACAGCAGAGGGACACTAGGAAAGAGTTTCAGAGAGCCTAATCGCATTCCTTGTTTTTTCTGTATATACCTTAACAATAGTCACAATAAATAATCCTTGCATTCGATATAGCACTTTATTTATCTCAAAATAATTCCAAAGGTGCCTCGCAGGTTTTTTTTCTGTCATGTATAGTGACTGTGCATTTGTAGCTGAACGCTGTAGTAAATTTGTACCCAACGATGTCCCACAAACAGCCATGAAGTGAATGACCATTTTTCTTCTGGGGAATTGTTGGCCAGGATACGGGAGAAACTCTTTTCTTTTTTCCATCGTTGCCATGTCCATCTACACAGCTGACTGGGAGGGGGTTGGGGGGTGGAGAGAGAAGAGTGCAGGTGGGTGGGGAAGAGGGTGCAGGTGGGGGTGGTTAGGGTGGGGCAGAAGGGTGCCAGAAGCACTGTTGAAAGGATGGGTCTTCAGGTGTGGCTTGAAGATGGGGAGGTAGGGGGCAAGGTAGAGAGACTCCAGGTTAACGTTCCAGAGAGCTGGTAGAGAATGGCTGAAAGCTCACCTGCTGATGGTGTAAAGCTTTATCCTCCATGTTTGATGGTCAAGGGGCATCACTTTGGTAGTGATTCGTTCGCAAAAATGTGGAGTAAAAAGTACATCTCGGAAAGAACAACTCCTTTTGGGGGAGATGTGTTGCAGTTCATAAAAACGACACTGAAGGGCATCTCAGTGTATCCTTAGGAATCTAATAGACTGTAGTGAAGACTCAAATGTAGCACATATTTCAGCATAAATTGTTTTGCTTAACATACATTATAAATGGTTGCACTAGTATTCATACAATTTTTGTAATTTTTTCTTCCCACACCCCACTCTTTCCAGTCTCTCTAGTGATGGGGATTCCCACTGTGAAGAGGAAAGTTAAGTCTTACCTTGGAGAGACGCTTCACTCATTAATTGATAAACTATCTCCTGAAGAGATGCTGGATTCTGTAATAGTAATATTCGTAGGAGAGGTAAGGATATTATACATCTGCTTTCTTAACCAAAATGTCTTTCTTTTCAGCAAAACCAACAGGCTTGATGAGCTGAATGGGCTCCTGTAGTTTGATTGATTGAGCCCTGGATTTGAGAAGTTTTGGGGGTTCATATTCCTGGTCGGTTGGTTACAAAGGAACAGGAGGAGGACATTCAGCCCATCCAGCCTGTTCCACCAGTTTGTTAGATCATACCAAACCTCGTAATCCCATTTTCCTGTGTTTTCTGCATATCCTTTAACAATTCTATGAGGAACCTAATGCTTCAACCAGCATCTGTTAGCCACCCTTAAACGTATTCCAATTGATTCTGCCCTAGTCTTCTGGCTACGTTCTCGGTTCCCTCTGTGTGAACAAGCATCTCACTTCTAACTATCCCAGCTCTAGTTTTAACATTACCCCATGTTTTGGATCCCTCTATTGAGGCAGGGTGTGGGGGGGTGGGGGAGGATGGAGGGGAGAAGGGTCATCCACTATCCAGCTTGTCATATCCCTTCCATAATTCAATCACCCTAATCAGATCATCCTGACTTCCTCAGCTCTGTTGAGTAGATTCCCAGTCTCCATGGCCTCTCATTGTAGCTAAACCCCTTTTATATCAGGTTAATTGTCAAGTGAATTATTGTTGGGTGCTCTCCAAGACTGGTGTGTCTGTTTCACTTAACCCTCACCCTTCTAAAGTCAATGAGTACCTCAATGAGTGTCTACAAACATCCTCACAGTAAGGGTTGTCTCCCTGGGGATGAACAAGCTCTGAGGAAACATGCTTGGCAAGGCCTGACACGCCCTGGGTAATCTAAGCTTCTCAATTTTTTGGGGGTCATCCAGGTGTCTTGACACTTGCGGAAAATCACTACTACGCTTAAGAGAATCAAACCCAAACGGAGTTCCATACATGCCACCTACACATGGAAATTACTGTGATTTGGAATGGGATGCGCACACTCTCCCTGGAGGGATGCATTCCTGCTTACCTGATCCCGGAGAGTTTTAGGCAGACATTGACAAGAGTTATGGCTTGCAGGCCCCTAATTGTGGAGTTTAACTGCCTAGGTTGCTGTTATCTAACAAGCTTTCCCGCTGCTTGTCCAGCTAGGACCACCCTACCCGTGAGGGCCCTGACTTGCAGGGTTAACAGGAGCTGATTGGTAAGAATCCCTTGCTCCCTGTGAGAGTCTACTCAACAGTAAGACTTGGGGTCACCCAAGAGTGTTCCCACTCGGGTTAATACTGATTTCCATTATTCCTTTTGCATTATTTTTAAATTAAAATTGTTCTTGAAAAGTTTTTTCGTAGTCTTGTGCGTTCCTCACAGTGTGGCAGTGCCACTGGGATTGGAACCAGTTCCGTTAGATTTTTTTTTAAAAAAACTTTTTTTATATAATGAGTCCAATTATTTTTCCTCACTGATACGTGAGCCTCTGCTCCTGGTTCCCAGCCTCCACAAGTCAGCTCGTGGATCCACAGGTCCTGATTGCTGCTCCAAGTCTCCACCCAAAGCTCACCAAGTGAGTGTCGATAGGCCATTCGACTGTAGAGGGCAACACGTCTGAACCTGACCTCTCCTCACCCGGCTGACACACACACCCACGCACACAACCAGTCGAGTGTGCTGAGCAGGAGCAGCAACCCTTGTTGTTTTCCTCTCTCCCTGAGCCTGAAAACGTGGGAACATAGGACCCAATGGAACAGGTGTAGGCCATTCAGCCCCTCGAGCCTGTTCCATCATTCTTTTGGAGCATGGCTGATCTGTACCTCTTTAGCTTAAATTCAGGTTAACTGTTGGCAACGCTAACCATTTGGTGCATTGATTTTTCTGTACTGTTTGCATGCACAAGAGAGAAAGGATTAGAGGGGTGTACGAGAGGACATTAGAAAGGCTTGTGTGGAGAATAAGCATCGGCATGGACTAATTGGGTTGAAATGCCTGTTTTTGTGCTACAATGTAATACGTAAATAAAACAGGATATCCTGCAAATATGAAGCAGGTCAGCGGATAACTTTAGAAAGAAAGGTTAAAGCCTTGAATAAAACCGTTATCAGCATACAACAAAGGCTTGACAACCTCATGCATTTATATCCAAAAATAATTTATTTTTCCTTTGTTTCAACAGACCGATCTCGATCATGTCCAGCACGTGGTGGGTGACCTGGAAAAAGAGTAAGTGATGGTTTGCCAATGTACCATAATGGAGATTGTGCTGACTTTTGTTGTAGTGATAATAACAACAATAACCCTAGCATTTGCCAAACCAGCTCAGTTGGAAGCCCTCTCGCCTCTTGAGTCAGAAAGAAATGGATTCAAGAGCTACCTAACTCGGAAGTTTGAGCTCACAGTCTAGGCTGATGCTCCTGTGCAGTGCTGGGGTGCACTGGATTGTCAGAGGTATCGTCGTACAGTGGGCGAGATAATAAACCAAGATGATCGGGTGGATGTTCAAATCTCACGGCACACTATTGAAAAAGAGAAGGGAGTTTCTACTGGTATTCTGGCAACAATGCCCTGATAAATAATAATAATCCATGCATTTGTTTTAGCCCCGTATCATGTCTTCGAGATGGCTCGAAGCCCTTCACAGTAAAGTGAATTCACTGTATATTTTGTGGGTGAAATGTAGCAGCTAATTGCGCAAAGCAATGTCCTACAAACAGTCATGGACTGAGTGACCAAATTATTATTTATTTGTTTATTTGAAGGCATTATTACTCCAGAAAAGCAATCCGCCAAACGACTAACAACCAGATTCCTAATTCCTGCTAGGTAAACCGAGCCGTGTGGAGTAAGGAAACTTGCCCAATGTTTCGCCTTGCTGGGAATCGAACCTAGATCTCTCACTTGCGAGGCGAGTGCTCTAACCACTGAGCTACAAGACTCTACAAGAAAATGTAGTGACTGTTTAATGGTTGTCAACTTAGTTTGCGTAAAGGAATGTCCCACAAGCAGCGATGGAGTGCATGACTGTATTCTAGCCTAATTTTCTTACCGACTGATTAAGAGTTTTCAGTTCCTGCCTGAACACAAGAGAAAGTTAGGGAAATGTTCAGCTCAGTGAGGTTCTCCCCCCCCCCCCCCCCCAAACTCTCTCTCTTGCTCTACTTTACAGTAAAATGGGAAGTAATTGTTAATGAGGGCTGCTCAGCCCTTTTAAATGACTGTGAAAACAGGGTCATTTCCTGAAATGTGCACATCCTGTAGCCTGACCAAAAAGGACTTATATATAGTTTGCAAAACAATTGGCTGGGGTTTCAGTTTTTTTTAAAAAAAGTCCAATTGAGACCGTAGGGAATATAATATTATTGGAGCAAAAGGAGCTATTCTGCAGTGAGGGGGAACAATCTGAAGCCTGGATTTTAACGATCTCTTCTCTGAGCTTTGTCTGCCTGCATTAGCAGGGAACGATGTGACACTACTGGACTGTGCTCCAGAAACTCCTCATTGCCCTCAATTAAGAAGGAGCAGTGTGTGACATAGCAGAACGTCCAGAAATTGCAGCACGGAAGTAGGACGTTAAGTATGCTGTTGCCAAGAAGTACAATAACAATAATAATAATAATCCGGAGGAAGGGGGTGATTGGGGAGAGGGCGGCGGGGGACACATCCGAGGAGGGAGGGTTGTGGGGCAGATCTCTCAGTAAGTTTTATTTGAAAAATTCCAAAGAATTCACACAATAGTACGTCCGTGAATTACTGGTATATGTTTTATTCACAAAGAACTTCTGCTGCTGGAATTGGAATTTTGATTTGAGGATACTATTCTGTAACAACAAACCTTGCATTTTGAGAAAGCATCTTATCAGGTCCTCAGGCATCTCAATTTTGCCAGGAGCGATGTCCCACAAACAGCTCTAAAGTCAGTGACCAATTTTATCTGGGGGATGGTTGGCCAGGACACCAGGAGAAACATCCTTCTCTTATCCAATAGCACCATGGGACCTTTAATGTTCACCTAAACAGTCAGACGGGATGTCGGTTTAACAGCTCCGAAGGACGGCACCTCCGACAATGCAATGTTCCCCCAGCACTTGCACTGGGAGTGTCAGCCTATGAGTCTCGACATGGGGCTTGAGCACACAACATTCTGACTGAGGCGAGAGAGCTACCAACTGAGCCAGTCTGACACCATTATTCAGTAAAACCTGATGCAAGTTCTTTTGTCTAGCAATTCTTTTGATCTTATATACAGTATATAGTTCAGCGCACAGCATGTACAAGCGATTGCCAGGAGGCTGGAAGGCGAATTGGATGAACCTTGGTCTTCTTTCGTCCAGCAATCCTTATTTTCTTACACATTTTGCACTTCATGCAGATGCTGACTTTGCTGGATAGTGTGTAAATCTCCTTCGTAACACCTACAATTAATCTTGTGAAAATTGGCTGAGATTTGTGATTTTTTTTTATTTTTAGCCCTCCCTCCCCCCATTATATACAACCAGAATAAATCCTACTTACTTTTATTACCAAAACAATTAGCAGGAGGCATTTGGGCAGGAATATTTCCATAATAACCTTGGTTTTTTTTCTTTTTCTTGGCAGATTTTACACAGATATTAATTCAGGGTTAATAGAAATTATATCTCCTCCTGTCGCTTACTACCCTGACCTGACAAACCTGAAGGAGACATTCGGAGATTCAAAAGAGCGAGTCAGGTAAGCACTGGACTGGAGTATCAGACTCAATTATGAGCTCAAAGCCCCGATTTGGGCTTGAACCGACGAGCTTCTGACTTGGTGATGAGAATGCTACCTGTTCCAAGCCTCACAATCACAACACCCTACATATAAGCGTAAATTGTATTGCGTTTACAGTAATTCCTGGCAAGTGCATTGAGATGCCTCTACGATGTATTAAGGCGCTATTGCCAAATCAAAGATTATTATTGTCGAATTGCATACCATAACAACACTTGCATTGATATAGCACCCTTCAGGCAGGTAGTGTCTCAGAATGCTTAACGGTGACGGAGTTTGACACCGAGCTGGAGAGAGGGGAGATGATTGTAGGAACAGTCAAAGAGGAAGGTCTTGAGGTATGACCTGAAGAAGGGCAAGGAAGACAGAGAGCTCCAGAGGTTCAGGCCATAGTGGCTGAAAGCATGGCCACCATTGGTGGAGTGGACGAGGGATGTGTACAGTGCTGGAGCCAGATGAGTGAAGGGGGTGGGTAGTGGAATGGGTGTAATAACAACTACTACTGCTTACATTTATATAGTGCCTCTCACACAGGGTAGCATCCTTGAGCACTTAAGGGTGTAAGCAGGTCGGAGAGATAGAAAGGTACCGGGGCATGAATTGATTCACAAGTAAGTGTGAGAGTCTTGAAATCGACCTGTTTGCAATAGGGAGCCAGTGGAGCCTGGCAAGGACAGGGATCTGCAAGGCAGGGCGAAACCTTGGGCAAGTTTCCTTACTCCACACAGAGCCTAATAATAATCCCTCCAAAACCAAAAATAATAATAAATTGGTCATTTTCAATCTACGACTGTTTGTGGGACATTGCTGTGCGCAATTGGCTGCCGCGTTCGCCCACAAATATACAGTCAATTCACTTTGCAGTGTGTTCTGTGAAGCGCTTTGGGACGTCCTCCCGACGTGAAAAGCGCTATATCGAATGCAAGGATTATTATATTATTATTATTATTATCTTAAGATACGTTACAATACACGTTACAATAATAATAATAGTCCTTGCATTTGATATAGCGCCTTATTATGTATTTGAGATGTTTCAAAGCGCTTCACAGGATATACTGTAAAGTGAATTGACTATATTTTGTGGGCAAAAATTTACAACACAGAAACAGACCATTCGGCCCAATTAATCTGCGCTACTAAATACTCCACATGAGCCCCCAACCCTCATGTCCTGCAGCCAATTTTGTGGTAACTCATTCCAAGTGTTAACTAATATTAATCACGGCATTTGATCCTTGCATTTGATATTAGCTCCTTATCATGTTGTCAGACTATCTCGCAGCGCTTCACAGGATTTTACTGTGAAGTGATTGCAATAACTGTAATTGTAGAGCTTGCAGAACCACAAAGGTTCTGTAAAGAAATACTTCCTGATGTCTGGGGTAAATTAGCATTTCACAACTCTGACCCTTTCTTGATAGACCGTATATTTTGTGGCTGAACATGTCAGCCAACTTCACGCACAGCAATGTTATCAACCCATCTGAGTTACTAAGATGTTTTGCATGTTACATTTCAGGTGGCGAACAAAACAGAATTTGGATTATTGCTTCCTTATGATGTACGCACAAAGAAAGGGGGTTTATTACGTTCAGGTATGTCTTAATTTGTAATATTCCTATTTTTAATATGTAATTGTCCATTTGATATAATAATACAATAATAATCCTTGCATTTTTATATTTAAGCGCCTTGGGACGTCCTCCCGACGTGAAAGGCGCTCTTTAAATGGAATCTTGTTATTGTTGATATAGTGCTTTTCACGCCTTCAAGACGTCTCAAAGCGCTTCACAGAATATACTGTAAAGGGAATTGACTGTATATTTGTGGGCGAAACGCAGCAGACAATTGCACACAACAGTGTCCCACAAACAGTCTTGGATTGAAATGACCAAATTATTATTGTTTCTTTTCTTGAGGGATTATTATCAGGTGAGTGGAGTAAGGAAACTTGCCCAAGGTTTCGCCCTCTGCCGGGAATCAAACCCAAGTCTCTCGCTTGTGAGGCGAGTGCTCTAACCGCTGATCCACAGGACTCAAATACGGTGCTTTATCACAAGCAGTATGCCTCAAAAGTGCTTCACTGGTCATTACTGTCGAGTGCAGTAACTGATTATGTAGGAAACCTAGCAATTTGCGTCAGCAAAGGAATATACAGCAAACTCCTGATAACTCGACTGTGATTTAACTAGTCACTACAATTTAAGTCATCATGCTGTAAATATCCCGACCGCAGTTATTTATATATTTATACATATGTCTAACTAGACACTCCGGATAACTTGTCACTTTTCCCTTGGAGTGTAGAGTTATCAGGAGTTTACTGTAATGATAATAATAATCCTCGGATTTCATATAGTGCCTTTCACATCGAGAAGATGTCTCAAAGCTCTTCACAGGATTTTACTGTAGAGTCTAGTGACTGTGTTTTATAACAACGGGGCAGCCAACTTGTGCAAGGACTTGAAGTGCTTCAATCAGCCAATAATATGAATGACCAATTTTTCTGGATGATTATTGACTGGTACACACAGAGACAACATTCTATTCTCTTTAGTGTTGTGGGATCTTAAATATCTCATTGAGTAGGTACTTAGGATCCCTTTTGTTTCAACATCTCACCCAAAAAGACAGCCGTCACCAAACCCCTGTACTGCACTGGAGAGTCAACCTAGACATGGGGCTTATCCTCACAACCTTCTGACTCAGAGGTTGGCCTGAGCCGTCCACTATAGTAATTTATTAACGTGAGTGGCCCGTTTTTGTTTTAAGAAACAAAAACTTTTATTGTAAACTTTCAACATATAGAGTAACGAAGAACAGTGACAGAATGAGCCTCAGAACTATATGAACCATCAATTAATTCTAACAATAAAACCTTATCAAAAAGAAGAGATGGCAAAAGTCCTGAGTTATTTACAGTTTAAACATTTTATGGAAGAACACAGTTGCCAGCCCAGTGTGCCAGCCCAGTGTGTCTTGACTGGTACAGTACATAGGTGGAGTCCTGTAGCTCAGTGGTTAGAGCACTCGCTTTGCAAGTGAGACACCTGGGTTCAATTCCAGGCAGAGGGCGAAACCTTGGGCAAGTTTCCTTACTCCACACACCTGATAATAATCCCTCCAAAAAAAAACAATAATAAATTGGTCATTTTCAATCTACAACTGTTTGTGGGACATTGCTGTGCGCAATTGGCTGCCGCGTTCGCCCACAAATATACAGTCCATTCACTTTACAGTCTATTCTGTGAGGCGCTTTGGGACGTCTAGAAGACGTGAAAAGCGCCATATCAAATGCAAGGATTATTATTATTATATTATGAGGGTTACACCTTGATATAGCACCATTAACATTGGGGGGAATGTCTCAAAAGTTCTTGATACATTGTAAAGTGTAGTGACTGTATTTTGTACATAAATGTGGTAGCCAATTTGCGCACAGCAATGTCCCAGCCAACCAGCCATGAAGTGAATAACCAGTTTTATCCAGGGGCCAGGACACTGGGAGAAACTCACTTCTGTTTTCCAATGGTGCCATAGGATCTTTAACGTCCACCTGAACAAGCAAACGGGACCTTGGTTTAATATCTCATCTAAAGAACGTCACCTCCGACAATGCAGCAAACCTCCGTCGCTGTATTGGTTTGCCAACCTAGACAATAGAAATTCAAAGTCCCAATGTGGAATGTGAACCCATAATCTTTTGACTCAAGATGTTTGAGCGTAACCAACTGAGCCAGGCTGAAAGTTTGAGGACTTTCATGTGATGATCAGTATGAATAGGAATGGCTAGGCTTTCATGTAATGATCATTCCCCCTCCTTTGTTGTAAATGTAATGAAGCATTTGATTGTATATTATTAGGATGAAAAGTCTGGTTGGCCTTATATATAGTGTCTTTGATTATGTTGGATGCTGGTGGGGTTTCCCTCTATTACAATCGCGCCTCATCACAATTTCTACATGTAAGGGTGAAACCTTAAGCCTCTGTTTACCTAGCAGTAAGTAGGAACCCGGTAGTTAGTCAATTGGAGGATTGCTTTCTGGTGGTAATAGTTCTTTAGAAAAAAATCTTTTTCAATTGGGTCACTCAATTCACGACTGTTTGTGCTGTGCGTAATTGGCTTCCGTGTTTCTCCCACAAAATATAGTCAGTTCACTTTACAGTATATAGTGTAATGCACTTTCTAAGACATCTCAATGATGTGTTAAGGTGCTATATCCAAATGCAAGGATTAACTATTGGGATTAAATTTGAATAGCACCCCTACCCGTGCCCCCCAATGGAATCGTGTCTTGGAGCTCTTAAAGACATTCTTTAAGTGTCAAATCAAAGATTGCAAATTGCTCGTCATGTCACAATTTCCTGACTGCAAAATCAAGGGATGTGCGCTGTTAATGCACCAGTTAAAATATCACCAATTGATATGAAAAAAATGAATTAATCTCAACATCCAGCATTGAAAATGACAATAACTGGCCCTGTCAGTGATATTCCAACCATCTAAAGAGCTAGAAATTACTTGTTTCAATAGGTTTACATAAAATTATACAAAATTATGCTGCAGGTGTTTCATGACTATCAAAAGCTGGATTTTCAATCAGCCCTTCAGATCCTCAATAAGCCTTTCAGATCTTCGAGTACAGAAATAAACTGTGCAGAAATAAGAAAGTACTTGAGCTTCCATGTGACCCAGTGTTTAAAAGTATGAATTCAACAAGAGTGGCAAATTGCAATGGGCACATGTGTTCAGCCCTACTTTGTTCAATCCTTCAAGAGCGACTAATGTTAATTTACTTCTGAATGTACCTAGTTAATCACTCTCTCTTAATTCGCACACACCACACACACACACCATACATACATCAATATTAGTCAGACAGACAGGAAAGAAAACCTGTTTGTACAATGCTTTCATGTCAGGAGGATGTCTATAATAATAATAATAATAATAATAATAATAATAATAATAATAATAATAATCCTTGCATTTGTTATGGCTCTTTTCATGTCTTCTAGACGTCTCGAAGCGCTTCACAGAATAGACTGTAAAATGAATTGATCGTATATTTGTGGGCGAAACTCGGCAGCCAATTGCACACAACAGTGTCCCACAAACAGTCATGGATTGAAAATGATCAATTTCTTTTTTTTGTTTTGGAGGGATTATTAAAGCACTTCACATTTTGTGGGCAAACGTGGCAGCCAATTTGCACACAGCGATGTCCCACAAATAGCCATGAAGTGAACAACCAATTTTATTTGGGGGATTGTTGGCCAGGATACTGAGAGAAACTGCCTTCTCTTTTCGAATAGCATTATGGATCTTTAACATCTACCTGAACTGGCAGATGCAAGGATTATGATTGTTAATAATAATAATCATAATCCTAGCATTTGATGCAGCATGTAGACCATCAATATATCTCGATGTGCTTTGCCTGTAATTTCTGGCATCAATAAGAATAATGGTTAAAATCCCTGCACTTGGTAAAGTGCTTTATTTTGTCATGAAAATGCCACAGGATGTTATTGTAAAGTACAGTAATTGTGTATGCAAACGTGGAGGCCAATTTGCACATGGCAATGTCCCACAAACAGCCATCAAGTGAATGATCAATTTTATTTGGGGGGAATTGTTGACCTGGACACCAGGAGAAACCCCTTTTCTTTTCGAACAGTGATATGGGATCTTTAACATCCACCTGAGCCCTGTGGATAAAACATTGGAGCTTTATTCATTGTAATCTTGGTGTGCACTAATCCAACAGCAACTTGCATTTATGTAGCGCCCTTCACCAAGGGTAACAACTCAGAGTATTTTACAAAAGAGTCACACACCAAGCAAACAACGGGTAGGGTAGGAATGAAGGGGTGGGAGGTGATAATAAGTGCATTTGAATAGCTTTGCCCAGTGGAGGGGGCAAGCAGAGCAATGGGAGCTCGGCTCATAGCCTAATGCATCCGTTGCCTCGCTTCATTTCCAGTTTGACTGTAAATCCACTTTGCAGGATTGATCCGTTTAGTGGCAGGTTTTTATTTGTGCTTCTCTTCAGCTAGAAGACGACATTGTTGCCAAACAAAACTACTTCAGCACAATGAAAAATTTTGCACTTCAGCTGTCCTCCGAAGACTGGATGGTCCTGGAATTCTCTCAGTTGGGATTTATAGGTAACAAGTAAAGATTTTGTGACAGAAAATGTAAATTTCTGATGCCTCCATTGGTAAAACTCAGGCACTTGTGCTGCTATAATAATAAAATAATAATGCATTTGCATTTGATATAGTGCCTTATCACGTCTTTCAGATGACTCAAAGCGGTTCACAGAATATACTGTAAAGTGAGTCACTGGGTATTTTGTGGGCGAAACAACACAGTCCTTATGATGTTAATAAGAATCCTTACATTTGATACAGTGCCTTTCAAGTCCGGAGGATGCCTCAACGCACTTTGCAGGTTGACACTTGTATAAATAGAACATCAAATAATAATAATAATAATCCTTGCATTTGATATAGCGCTTTTCACGTCAGGAGGACGTCCCAAAGCGCTTCACAGAACACACTGTAAAGTGAATTGACTGTACATTTGTGGGCGAACGCGGCAGCCAATTGCGCACAGCAATGTCCCACAAACAGTCGTAGATTGAAAATGACCAATTTATTATTGTTTTTGGTTTTGGAGGGATTATTATTAGGCTCTGTGTGGAGTAAGGAAACTTGCCCAAGGTTTCGCCCTCTGCCTGGAATTGAACTCAGGTCTCTCACCTGCAAAGCGAGTGCTCTAACCACTGAGCTACAGGACATCAGCTCCTTAAGTGAATGATAAATGTAACTGAATAACAACAATTAGCATTTATACAGCGCTTTCGCATTGGGAGGATCATAGAATCATAGAACCACAGAATTATACAGCACAGAAAGGCATCGCTTCACATTTCTCCACATTAAACGTCATCTGCCATGGATGTCCTAAGGTGTTGTCAGAAGATGTTGTGGATATCCGATCCTTTCTGATGATTGTTAACCATTTCCAATGCTGCATATATAACTGGCGATGAACTGGAGTGAACCCGGCAACTCTGAGAGCAGATCCGCTCTTGTATCCCTGCAGGCTGTCACCTTCCACACCTTCCATCCTAATTAGTTTCTTGCAGGGCAGGGATGGCCTTTTTCCTTTGGATTTGCGTCATCCCAACTCCCTTTGCCAGCTGTTGCCAGCTGTGTAATCTCATAGCAGTAGTTTGCACTCCGTACAATAGTTTCAGCTACCTCTTCTCACAAAATAGTAGGATTACAACAATAGCAACAACAACTTTCATTTATATAGTGACCCGATGCGAGGGGTAGAAAGGGGAGTTGACTGTAGCCAGGATCACTTTGAGCCATGGGTGTCCCAAGGTGTTGGACAGTCGAGAGTTTGCACCTGAGCTGGGGGTTAGATTCGGGAGGGGTGGGTAAAAGGGGACGGGAGAGGGGGGGAAGATGACCAAAAGCGCAATTAGAGAGGAAGATCTTGAGACAGACCTTGAAGGAGGAAGGGAAGGGAAGGGACAAAGTGAAGGAACTCCAGGATGGAGTTTCAGAGAGTGGGGCAGATAGACTAAAGCAGACTAGACTGAGGTAGGGGATGTAAAGCAGACCAGTGTCTGCTGAGTGGAGGGAGGGGCCAGGTTGGTATGGTTTAAGAAGGTCACAGAAGTAGGGTTGGGAAAGACCGTGGAGGGATTTAAAAGCGAGGACGGGGACCTTGAACTCAGTCCTCTAGGGGATGAGGAACCTTGTGAGGATGGAGGTGATGAGTGGAGTCTAGATGGAAGGGGCATAAGCTGCAGAATTCAGGATGGTCTACAGCTTGTGGAGGGGAGGGCTGCAAGTGTAGCGAGATGAGTTGGCCCAGTCTAGGCTGGAAGTGACGAAATGGCCCAAGGAGAGAGGTAGTGGCGGAGGTGGCATTGTTGGAGAGGTGCGGAAATGTTGAACGGGTCAAGGCATGGATGTGGCACTTAAAGGATAGTTGAGAGTCAAACATGACACTCTGTGAGGTGCTTTGTGCATCCATGTAGATAGATGCTGTCAGGTCTGAGGTGAAAAGGCGCTGACAGGAGCCAAGCTGGAGGGGCTCAGTCTTGTCGACATTCAACTGAAGAAAGTGAGCTCTCATCCAGGACAGGCAATCGGTCAGGACAGCAGTGGTCCGTCCTGGAGTCGAGGGTGGAGGCAGAGAGATAGAGTTGGGTGTCACCTGCACACGTGTGGAAGTTACCCCCATGCCTGCGGATGACATCACTGAGTGGGAGCATGTAGGTATTGAAAGAGCAGAGGACCGAGGATAGAGCCTTGAAAAACACCGCATGTGTGACAGTTAGAGCCATTGGTAGAGTCAGCAGAAAATATAAAATATGAACAAACTGAATAGAGCTGTGTAGATTTCTCCCCGAAAGATCCCTCAGTTTTCATTTGCGTTAAAATAAAGGATGTCTGTATAGTAGGCTCCTCACTCTTCCACCTCTCGGTTTGGAGCAGTGTTTCTGAAATCGAGTAGGAAACTTGTCGGAAGGTGTTGCGCACGTCCAATCCTTTCTGATGATTGTTAAACATGTCCAGTGCTGCGTATATAACTGGCGATGAACTGGAGTGAACCCGGCAACTCTGAGAGCAGATCCGCTCTTGTATCCCCGCAGGTTGTCACCTTCCATACCTTCCATCCTAATTAGTTTCTTGCAGGGCAGGGATTGCCTTTTTCCTTTGGATTTGCGTCATCCCAACTCCGTTTGCCAGTTGTTCCCAACTGTGCAACCTCACAGCAGCGCTTTGCACTCCGTACAGTAGTTTCAGCTACCTCTTCTCACAAAATAGTAGGATTACAACAGCAGCAACAACAACTTGCATTTATTTAGTGTCCCGATGCTGCATGGGTTAGAAAGGGGAGTTGATTGTAGGCAGGATCACTTTGAGACATTAATAATAATAATAATCCTTACAGTTAGTGTAGGGAGGACATCTCAAACACTTCCCAGTACACATTATAAAATGTAGTGAAACGGTTCCCACCCTATCCAGTGATCTCTGTTAACACTCACAGAAACTCGAGAAGTTATTGGGTCAATGTTAATGTTGTCTCGTCTTAACCCCAGCAGTTCCGCACGAACAAATCGTAACAAACCTCGCAATACTAACTGCAAAAGACACGAACCTTATCAATGCAAGGGTTGTTAGTCTTCTAACTCATGAGGATTTAATCTTACTCTATGTCAAGTTACGATTTGTTTTGTGTCAAGTTACTTTGCATTAAATTTGAATATGATCCATCCCATTAGGTAAAATGTTTCAGTCACCTGATCTGAACCTGATTGTGGAATTTATACTGATGTTCTACCAGGAGAAACCAATTGACTGGCTTTTAGATCATATCCTCTGGGTGAAAGTCTGCAATCCCGAGAAAGATGCAGTAAGTATTTAATCGTTACAACAGCTTGTGTTTATACTGCGCCTCACCATTTGATGACCAAATTTTAATTAAAAATTTATGCTGCTAAACATCTTCTGCTTTTGTAAAAATAAGCATACGGCTTTTTTACTGAACTGCATTTTCTTTTGCAAGGTTGGCAGGTATTCTGTTACCCAAATCTCTTATCTTTTAGTCGAGCATGCATACCCTTGACTGTCCCAATGCCCTGAGCCGTTCTCCTGACATAAAAGGCGCTATATAAATACAAGTTGTTGTTGTTGGTGTTGTTTAAACATCCCTATTGATGTTTTTTGATGGATGTGTAACTGGCTTCTTTTGATTCACTTGGAGGTTCTTCAGCGATCTGGTGAACTGTTTCTGAGACACCCCTAAACTGTTGTGCACCCTCTGTCCGAGCTAAAACCTCACTACGCAGAGTGGTTTCAGGAGACTGTCTCAGTACAGCTCACATTGGGGTCATGCAGAGAAGGTTGTGGGTTCAAGCCCCATGTCAGGACTTTGAGCTGGGGGTTACGCAGCATTGTTGGATGTGCCATCCTGCAGATGAGACATTAAACCGAGGTCTCATCTACCCATTCAGGTGGACGTTAAAAATCCCATGGCACTATTTGAAAGGAGAAGGAAATTTCTCTTGGTGTCTTGGCCAACAAATTCCCCAGATAAAATTGTCTGTTCACTTCCTGCCTATTTGTGGGACATTGCTAGATGTAAATTGTCTACCACATTCATGCAAAATACAAAGCCACTACACTTTACAGTAAATCCTGTGAAGCGTTTTGAGACGTCTCATCATGTTAAGCCTCTGTATCAAATACAAGGATTATTATATATTATTACAAATCTTTAGGTTTCCACAAAGTTTCTTCACGTTATTCCTGCGCTCTCAGCAACCTAAAAGTCTAATTGTGGGAAGTCATTTCTATGTATAAAGAGAGTGTGTGGAGAGAGCAAAATAGGAGTTAAACATCAATACTGTTATTTTAATACATTTTACACCATTGGAAGAGTTACACATTTTTCTTCAAATATTTATTAGAAATATTTTCTTTTTCTTTGAATATAACAACATGTTGCAGAAAATGTTTTATTTAGAAGAAGACCATCACGTCTGTGCACTGAAAAGATCTTGCTGCTGTCCTTTTGCCCTCTAGAAGTCAACTACAGGAGACGGGGAGAAAAGGGCAGGTAAATGGGACTGAAAGGATTGCTCTTAAAAAAGCCGGCACAGAGCTACTGGGACGAATGGCCTTATTCTGTGCTGTCCTCAAATCCTTTCAAGCCCTAGCACCTCCCTACTTGTCCGACCTGCTTGCTCCCCAATCTACCCTGCGTGAGGGGCGCTTTATAAATGCAAATCATTGTTCTAAATTGTTATAGGTCTATGATTTAGCTTGCTCGGTTACTAACAATATGGGATGGTGCTTTATTTTCTTTCCCTCCTCCCCCATTCACCATTCTGTTTTATTTATAGAGATACAACAACAGCAACAACTTGCGTTTTTATAGCGCCAGTCACCCAGAGAACTTGGTTGAATCGGGGCCAGAGTTAGGGGACCGAGGTCTTGTGCTGCTTGCGGCTTTGTGTGGGTGTGTGTGCGAACTGAACTCCCATCGGTCAATTGGCAGGAGGCCAGAGCAAGAGACCATGTTCTGTGTGATAGTTGCAGCTGAATGAGCCGACAGCAGAGCTGACAAAGATACAGAGGAGTATTACCAGGCTGTACACATCGTCTGAAATAACTGGGGCAAAGTCTGACATTGTGGCAAACTGAGTCAATATGAAACCCCTCATCCTCTGACTCGATCCACGGTGAATCTGTGCTACAGTAGTTTAAACACAGCCTTGATGTTTGATATTTGCGATTTGCAACTACAATTGTAGTTGTTACTGCAGTGTCACAGCCGCTTGAAAATGCCCTGGATTCCATAGCGTTTATAGGTTCAAGGCATTTTGCTTCCTGCCCCTCGGATTCTGAGTGCCCACCTCTAGTCTGATAATTATTAAACCTCTTCTATTCCAGCACCCTTGGTTTGAGCACACCTTTCTCTGGATTAGAAGGTTTCTGTGGCTGTAGTCACAGCAATTGCATTTAATACGACACCTTTCATGTCAAGATTAACTGTAAAGTGTGAAGTGCACTGGCTGTGCATTTTATAGGCATTCCCAGCAGCCAATTTGTGCACAACAATGTCCTACAAAGAGCCGCAAAGCAGCTAATAATAATAATAATAATCCTTGCACGTTGAATAACCATTTTTACCTAGAAGATTGTTGGCCAAGACACTGGGAGAAACTCCCTTCACTTTTCGGACAGTGCCATGGGATCTTTAATGTCCACCTGAACAGGCAGACGGTACTCAGTTTAACGTCTCACCTGAAGGGCAGCGCTTCCAACATTGCAGTGCTTCTCCAGCTCTGTACTGGAGCGTCAGCTAAGATGGTGAGTTCAGAGTCCCGATGTGTGGCTCGTACCCTCGCCTGACACCTAGCCCGCCACAACTGAACCAGTTACAGTGAACCCTCTCACTGCAGTGCACTACAGTGCATGGACCGTAACCAAAAACATAGATTGGAAATACTACAAAGTGCAATAGAGTTTTTTTGGTCAGCCGGGTGTCTGACACATGTGGAAACCCATCACCATGCTTAAAAGTATCCAAACCAAACTGAGAACTCCATGTATTCCAGCCAGTTCAGCTCCAAGGAGACTCTGCTTAAACTTTCTCCCCCCCTCCACTCTCCCAAAAGTGGATGAGGGTAGACACTAGTTGGTAGAGATGGAAGTGAATTGTGTCGCCTAACACTGTGTTTAATTTACAAAGTACTGGATTTTCCTACTCCAAGACAGGATCGATGTAAATTGCATTCGTCGGGCCTGTCATATATTTGTGAAGAACGTGGTACAAGACTTTAATCATGAAAGTACTTTCAAAGGTTAAAGCACTTTCGTGATCATTTTTCTTAATAATGAGTACTCGGATGGTCTCTGAAAGAGTGCACATTTTCTGTCTTGAGCAAAGATCTCGTTTGATGCTGATTTTTTAAAAAATATAAATGATATAATTTTTTTTGTAGTTTGAGACCTGGGGCGAGTGCTGCATTACCAGAGGTGCTATTCTTTGGATGAAACTTTAAACCGAGTTCTTGTCTGCCTGTTGGAGTGGACTTTAAAGATCCTGTGGCAGTACTTGAAAAGAGAAGATTTTTTTNCCCGGTGTCCTGGTCAATAGTTCCCCCAGTTAAAATTGGTCACTCACTTCATGGCTGGTTGTGAGACCTTGCTGTGCGCAGATGGGCTGCCGCATTCGCCTACAAATCAGCAATCACTACATTTCACAGTGTATCCTGTGAAACGCTCCTCTGGTCGTGAAAGGCGCCACATCAGATGTCAGGATGATGATTATTATTATTTTCATTGTTAACAAGTAATAATAAAAAAAATAATCCTTGCATTTGATATAGCGCTTTCTCAATTCATCGAGACGTCTCAAAGCGCTTCGCAGAATATACTGTAAAGTAAATTGACCGTGTATTTTGTGGGCAAGTGTTTTGGGGACAGTTAGAAATTTCAAAATAGGTTTGATTTGCTTGAGGTTAATAATTGCAGTGTTTTGCAACAGTGACTGAAAGTGGCAGCTCAGACAGCTGACGGTGACTGGCTATAATGAAGTTGGCTGTTGAGAAAATATTGTGTCGGTCCCAGAAAGAGATTAAGTGTCAGGTCTGCTTTAGTGCGGAGAAGGATGTGTCTGATGATTTACCATATATCAATAGCTATCTGATTTGCTTGCTGGCTTCCTGTTCTATGAGCAATAATTGTCCTATTTAAATGTCATTGTTTGAAGATACATCTCATTTTGAAGGATCTCAAGGCAGCAAGGGCCACATTTGCCTTTTTAAATAATTGCCATTTGTCAGTCTGGCTCAGTTGGCAGCACTCTTGCCTCCGAGCCTGAAGGTTATGGACTCAAGCCCCCATGTCGGGACTTTGAGCTCACACAGTCTAATCTGACACTCCAGTGCAGTGATCGGGAAGCAGCGCATTGTTGGAAGTATTGTCCTTTGAGTGAGATATTAAATCGAGGCCCCTTCTGCCTGTTCATGCGAATGTTAAAGATTCCATAGCACTATTCCTGATGTCCTGGCCAACAATCCTTCCTGATAAACTCGGTCATTCACTTTACCATTGTTTGTGGGATATTGATGTGCGCAAATTGGCTGCCGCGTTTGCCTATAAAATACACCTGTTCAGTTAAAACATTGAGGGAATATTGTAAAGATGTAAGGGAATGAAGGGCACCTCCTCCCACAGTGTTTCCTGTCACTGGTATTTAACCCCAGCTGCTAAATATAATAATAATCCTTACATTTGATGTTGTGCCTTATTACATAATTGTGATGTCTCAAAGCGTTTCACAAAATATACTGCAAAGTGAATTGACTGTGTATTTTGTGGGCGAAACGCGGCAGCCAATTGCGCACAGCAGGTTTACACGTAGTGCGGGACAGGTCTGAAATGGTTTAAATGGTTAACGTTCCCTCTTTTTATCGGTGTCGTTTAGAAGCATTGTGATCGTCAGAAAGCCAATCTGCGCATCCGTTTCAGACCCTCGCTGTTCCAGCATGTCGGGCTGCATTCTTCTCTGGCTGGCAAGATCCAAAAGCTGACGGTGAGTAGCATTTCGGTTTCCGCTCAAACCACGTCACTCATCTTTATGGCTGACGAGTGCCTTCATCCAAATCCATCTGATCCTTGTGCTTTGTACGGTAGTGTCTCAGAGCGCATAACAGTGGCGGAGCTTGACTCCGAGCCTGGTGGTGGCGGGGGTGGATGGGGGAGGTGGCTGTAAGCACGGTCAAAAAAGGAAAGTTGTCAAGGACTTGAAGAAGGGGAGAGAGGGGGCAAGGCGGAGGGATTGAGGGAGAGTGCTCCAGAGCTTTGGGGCGTAGTGGCTGAATGCGGAGGGTGCGAGGGACGAGCAGGAGATTAGTGCCAGTCGAGCGAAGGCGCTGGTGGTGGATTGGGGAGTGAGGAGGTTGGAGAGATAGGGAGGTGCCAGAGAGTGAAGCGATTTGAAAAATGACAATGGAGGCTGCTGTTTCCAGTCCTGATCTCACTCAAAATACTGTAGCCCCCGCCCCGCGACACACACACATACACACATATACTCTGAACCCCCCCTCGCCCATTCACACATACACATATACTCTGCTCCCCCCCACACACATATACCCTGTCCCCCCACACTCACACACTCGCGCACACACACAACCTCATGCATATACATTTCCATCCCCATGTATTCCAAGACAGTTTATTGATTAATTCAGTTTCAAAGTGTACAATTTGTTTTATTCCACTCCCCTGTCTGTCTGCCTTCCCGAAGGATAAAGACTTCATGAAGCCGTTACTTCACAAGATGCATGTTAACCCGCCTGCAGAGGTGTCCACCTCTCTCAGAGTTTATCAGGACCATTCGCTGGACAAGGTGTACCTAGGAGAGGACTTCTTCTGGGCAATTACACCTCTCGCCGGTGACTACATCCTCTTCAAATTTGACAAGCCTTTGATTATAGAGAGGTACGAATGCTGACTTAAAAACTCTGATAAAAATAATAATAATAATCATGCCTGCATTTGATATAGCACCTTATCTGTCAAGTCCTGTAGGGTTGTGGTTAAAGCATGTACCTCGCAAGCAAGAGGATCCGGGTTTGATTCCTAGGTGGGTCGAAAACCTTAGGCAAGTTACCTTACTCCCTAAGCTTCTGCTTATCTAGTAGTAAGTAGGTACTCAATTGATCGTCGATTGATGGATCGCTTTCGGGGGTAACAATCCCTCTTTAAAAAAAATTGTAATTTGGTCAATCAATCCATGACTATTTGGGGGACACTGCTGTGGCTGCTGCGTTTTGTTCACAAAAAATATAAAGTCAGTTCACTTTACAGTATATTCTGTGAAGCCCTTTGAGCCATCTGAAGGCTCTATATCAAATGCAAGGATTATTATTATCATCATGGCGTCAAGACATCTCAAAGGCTTTTTTTGGCAAACGTTGACTTGTGATTTTGGAGCAGCAGGGTGGGGGAAGAAGGAAATGAACGATAAAGCTGTCAGTGCGTGTGAGGTGTGAGAGGAGCCAATTCCACATTCCTGTGGGCAACAGTTTGATGAACATGTCATTTGCGCCAAGTTTGCACTTGTAACAGTGTAAGTGTAGAACAAACGTCATAGATTCAACAGCACTGGCCTTGGAGACACCCACCAGGAGTAGGTAGCTTTGCTGGTGGACAAACAGCAGCCTGTTGACTTTATTATGATTAAAACCTCTCCCTGTACTCCTTAATTCACACAGGAACGCATCTCTTTGACCACTCAGCGACCTGTGGCCTTCTACACATCCCTCATCCCCTCCGTTCCGCCATTGGTAGCCATGCTTTCAGCCACCATGCTCTGAAACTCTGGAACTCTCTGCCTCAATCCCACCCTTACCCACCCCTTGCCCTTCTTCAGATTGCATCGGAAAACCTTCCTCTTTGACAGTGCCTCCAGTCACTTCCTTCTCTCTGGCTCTGTGTCTGGCTCAGTCATTGTTAAGAGCTCCGAGGCTCTACCCTGTGTGAAGGGCACTATAAAAATGCAACTTGGTGTTTTTGTTGATGGGAGGACGGTTGGGTAGGTGTTTTGGAAGGATATCAGATGAGCTGAAGAGCTTTCTTCAGCAGCCTCCTTCTTGTGATGTTGTGATGTGGGTTAAATAAACGTCACAGTTCTCCTGTATTGGTCAGTTCCTTCTTGAACTCCCAACAACAGGAATCGAGGCCCAGGCTTTGACTGGCACCCCCTGAACAAGCAAGCCGAGATCTCGAATTCCTCATGTGTGGAGGCATTGTCACAAGTCCACACTTAACAACACTACTGGGTTGGCACTTAAAATGACCTTTTCATTTATAATTTCCAAACAACGATCAACAAAAGGCTTGTAAATGATCAGAAGCTTGCCCAAGTTATAGGTTGTTAATATTTTAAGCTTTTGTTACCAGGTATTTCTAGTCTTATGCCCACCCTTTCCATCGTAGATTTTTTTTCCTGCTCAACCATCTGGGTCTGTTTTTCTTTCAAACCGTGTCGGTGTGTTTTTTTCCTGGAATGTGTTGCTTGTTTTCGATGGTGTCTGCAGAGTGGAAATCTTCTCAAGAATAGGCTTGGCATTGATTTTACAAGTGACCGTGAGTTCAAAGTCCAGACAAGGGGCTTGAACCCACAACCTTCTGACTCAGAGACGAAAGTACCAACTGAGCCAGGCCCAGGTTGCCAAGCATCAGGGCTTCAGGACCCCGATAGTACAGCGTGCATTGGGGTAACTGCTGGAGTTGAACCAGGTGAAGCCATATAGTGTGCCATTCGGGAACGCTATCTGGCAAGCATCCCATTGCTTGTCCAGCTAGGACTACCCTACCCATTAGGGCTTTGACTTGCAGGGTTAACGGTTTGTTGTGTTGAGGCTGTTTTCTGGCTTTGCTAGATATGGAGGCGGATGCTTTGATATTTCCGTTCTCACACAGCAGTAGTAATTATTCAGATAGCAATGTAGTGTTTCTGGTCACTGGTGCTGTTTCTATAGAGACAAAATATGATGGTTCCTGTTGCTCTGGACCTTGCGGCAAGAATAATAAATACCTTCCTAGAATCATAGAATTATACAGCACAGAAGGAGGCCATTCGGCCCATCGTGTCTGTGCCAACTCTTTGAAAAAAGCTATCCAATTCAATCCCACTCCCCCACTCTCTCCCCATAGCCCTGCAAACTTGTCCTCTCCAAATAATTATCTACATCTCTCTTAAAAGTTGTTATCGAATCGGCTTCCACCACTCTTTCAGGCAATGCATTACAGATCCGAACAACTCGCTGTGTGAAAAAATTTCTCCTTTCCTCCCCTCTGTTTCTTTTAATAACTATTTTAAATCGGTGTCCTCGGGTTTCCGACCCACCGCCAGTGGAAATGTTTTTGTTTTGTTTCCCCTTTTCCAGAAAAGATAGTCTTCCTCTTCTCCTACCTCACACTTCTCACCCCTCTCCCTTTTCTTCCTCTTTCCTTCTCCCTTTCCCTCTCTCTCCCCCTTCACCCCATCTCCCTCCTCTTCCCTCCCCTCTCCTCTGCTGAAAGTAATAATAATCCTTGCATTTGATATAGCGCCTTATCACGATGTTCAAAGCGCTTCACGGAATATACTGTAAAGTGAATTGACTGTATATTTTGTGGGCAAAACAAGTAGTCACTTGTTATGTATTATCTCCACTCCAGAATCCCTCTGCCTCACCCCCTCACTTGCCTTCTTCAAAGCCCGTCTCAAGACCTTCCTCTTTGATGTGCCTTTGGCCACACTCCCTCCTCCACACACCCTCACCCTCGACCCCCACTTGATTCTAACCCCCAGGTCGAGTGAAAATCCTTAACTATCCAGTGCCTCGGGACATCCTTCCAATGTGAAAGGCGCTATATAAATGTAACTTGTTGTTGTAGTATGGTTTCAATGGCTACTCACCATCACCATGTTTTATGAATGAGTTTACACAGTGTTGATGAGTTAACCTGCGTTTTTTTTTCTGAGCTAAACTGTTTTGTTAATAATGAAACCTTTAGCATTTTGGGACGTTCTCTCGCTGCAAAAGGCGCTACATCAATACAATTTGTTGTTCTTGTATTTCATTTTCCAAATGCAATGCAAAAGATTCAAAAACAGCACTCAAATTTGGGTTGGGGTGGGGGAAAGAGGCTGTGTTCTGAGTTCAGAATAATATAAAGCCAGCTACTAACTGTAGACAGAAAATGATACCACGTAAGATTCTACATAACAAAAAGGGGTGAAGTCTGACGGAGTTTCCTTAGTGTTGAAGGAAAATGCAAAATAACATGCTTGATTAAATGGGTGTTTCTCCCTCTGTTCCTGGTCAACAATTCCCCATATAAAATCATTCGCCTCGTTTGTGGGACGTTGCTGTGTGTAAACTGGCTCCGCTCTCCCCTGCAAATTACACAGTCACTACACTCTACTGTAAACCCCGTGAAGCACTTTCAGACATCCTTCCGAGGGGAAAGCCGCTTTCTCAAAGGCAAGGAGTTTTTACTCATTCTTGTATGTATTTGTTTTGTTTATTTTGTTACCACTCATGATAAGTAAGACATCAACCAAAGATGTGCTCAAAAGCAATCTATTAACATCCGCTGCCCTTACGGTGAACCTTCCCCCGGGCCTGTAATAACTATTGACCACTTATTACAAAATTAATCTTTTTATGCAAAAAAAACACACAAAAACCTGCTTTGTGTACTGGACTACTCAGTGCACATCACATGCATCTCACAAGTTTCTTAATACTTTAATCCATGCTTTAATGCTGGAGGTTTATGAAAGTGAGGGGAGCACTTTTCATAGCACTTCTCAGAAAGATGGTGTAATAATTTTGCAAAGACATGACTATCCAGTGAAACATTCAAAACATTCCCGTCAAGCGGGGGATCATACAACGCCCTATTGCTGCAGTTCCGTGAATACGTGTGTCTAAAGCTATTTTTTGGCATTGATGTAAGAGTTCATACTGCGAAAAGCTCAGGTGGAAACGCCACATAAAAGGACCCTTGTAAATGTGGGGGTAAAACGGACATAGTTGCTAAATTGAATTAAAAATATTGCAGAGCTGCAGTATTTTGCAGCTTTATAGCTAGCATCCCTCCTAGCTATACACACACACACGTGTACGCTCACGCATAAATTGGTCACTCACTTCATGGCTGTTCGTGGGATGTTGCTGAGCACAAATTGGTTGCTGCATTCTCCTACAATACACAGTCCCAACACTACGCAGTAAATCCTGTGAAGCGCTTCAAGATGATTCAGTGATGTGATAAGGCACTGTATCAAATGCAAGGATTATTATTATTATTTTTATTAGCCGCAGAGTTCCATTCCAGTTTGGGTGTTTTAAAAAGTCTCTTAAAAAGAGTTTGTTGAAAGCTAAAAGCTCTGAAATCGTAAACTGTTCAGTGAGATGTTACCAACAGAATAATTTGGTGGCGGGGGGGGGGGAAGAACGCTGGGGCCAAGGTAGACACTTGATTGTCATCCTTCAGATGGGACGTTAAATCAAGGCCCCATCTGCCTGTTTGGATAGTTGTTAAAGATCCTATGGTAGTATTCAAAAAGAGAAGGGAGTTTCTCTCTCCTGGTGTCCTGGCCAACAATCCTCCAAATAAAAAATTGGTCACTCACTCCACCGCTGTTTGTAAGACATTGCTGTGTGTAACTGACTGCCAAGTTTTACTCACAAAATACACAGCCAATCCACTTTACAGTATGTAAATAATAATAATCCTTGCATTTAATATAGTGCCTTATCACATCAGTGAGACGTCTCAAAGCACTTCACACATTATATTGCAAAGTGAATTGACTGTATTTTGTGGGCGGCAGCCAATTGTGCACAGCAGCGTCCCACAAACAGTCGTGGAATGAATGACCAATTCTTTTTTTTTACTTCAGAGAGATTATTACCTCCGGAAAGTGATCTTCCAATCGACCAACAACCGGGTTCCTACTTACTGTTAAGTAAGCAGAGGCGTGTGGGTTGTGCCTAAGGTTTCACTACGCCTGTTATATCCTGTGGAGTGTTTCTTATCATTGTTGATTCAGTAAATGCCATCCAACATGTGATGGTTTGGCTCAGTTGGTAGCACTCTTGCTCACATCCAGGATAGAAGGTTGTGGTCTGTGAGCATCATATTGACCTGTGAGCTCACAGTTTATGGTGACACTCTAGTACAGTTCTGGGGTGCACTGCATTGTCAGGGGTGCAGTTCATCAGATGAGACATTATTTAAACTGAGGTCCTCCTGCCTGTTCGGGTGGAAGTAAAGATCCCATGGTACTAATTCAAGGAAAGTTCCTCCTGGTATGCAGGATGACAGGTTGCCAGGAACGGTGGTAGAGGCCAGGAAACGGGTTTCTGACTTGATGATGTGATGAGGGGAGGGTAGGGTGGGTGTTCTTGAAGGATGCAATCGGATGGCCTAGATGGGGGTGAAACTGTTTCCACTGCCAGGTGGGTTAGTAATCAGGGCACATAGATTCAAGATAATTGACCAAAGAACCAGAGGGAAGATATGGGGAACTTTTCTTTACACAGAGAGTTGTTACGGTTTCAAATGCACTGCCTGAAAGGATGGTGGAAACAGATTCAATAACAACTTTCAAAATGGAATTAGATAGGGACTTGAAAAATTTACAATGATTTGGGGAAAGAGCAGGGGAGTGGGACTGATTGGGTACCTCTACCAAACAGCAGGCACGATGGGTCGAAATAGGCTCCTTCCTTGCTGTAAGATCCTATGATTCATCCGAACCAATTTTGTGAGCAGTTCCCCACATATAGGGTTTCGTGGCTGGCTGTGGGACATTGCTGGGCGCAAATTGGCTGCTACATTCTCCTGGAGATACAGTCACTGTATGTTGCAGAAGAACTTTGTGAAGGGCTTTGAGACGTGATAAGTCGCCATATCAAACTGGAGGATTATTTCACGTCCGACAAACTTTGTCTGAGCTCCAGGACTGACATTGCTGTGTCTGAGGCTCAAGGGACCGATGGCAACAAATCCCTCATGATGGGTGAGCTGCACTCCAAGGTACTCAGAGCTGAGACAGGAGATTTGTAAATGACTGTTAGACGCTATAAGGGAGTCAGTCACCAATAGGGAGGTTCTAACAGACTGAAAGCCACTGTGCTTGTCTTATGCAAGAGCCTCATTTAGAAACTACACACAGACCCATTAGCCTGACCTCGATAATGTTGGAAGAAATTGCCTGTCCTGGTTGCTGTTTATTTTCCGACCTAATGCTCTCCGTGGGTAAACGTAACGGTGAGAACCTTGTTACACAAGTCTGTTTTCCGCAAGTCTTTTCAAGATCTGTGGGAAACTGTCTTCCAGTCATGTGGGATTGCCTCTCCAGGGTATTTTTTTCCCCCTTCCTAATATGTTCTGTGAAGCGCTTTGAGACGTCTGAACGACGTGATAAGGCGCTGTATCAAATGCGAGGATTATTATTACTTTGATTATTACTTGTAACAATAAAAATAATAACGATAATCATCCTGACATCAGGAGGAGCGTTTCACAGGATATACTGTAAAGTGCAGTGACTGTATTTATAGGCGAATGCGACGTGATAAGGTGCTATATCAAATACAAGGATTATTATTATTTTCTTATCAATTTTGTCAGGCCTGCGACCTCTAAAAGGATTCTTTCCCTGCTATAATGCACTACTTGATTTGTTTTACAAGCTCCTGCTGTTGCACAGCTTGCATTAGCAAGTCACTGAATACCATGAATGAGCATTGAGCCACTAAGCACTGTCTGTGACCTTGTTGCTATTTGTGTTGACTTTTGTTTTCACGAAACTGCTCTCTCCTCCGTCTCCCCGTGTGTTATTTATTTATATTTTATTCAGTGGCTTGGAGCGGAACCTATTAGGCTCTCATGAGCTCTTGATGAAAAGATTTGTCCTTGCGAAGGGAAATGTACCCGTTAAGTGCAAATGCACCTTGTACACAAATCTTCCTGCTGTGGATGCCTAATCAGATGGATTAAGGGAGCCATTCTTGCACAGTGCAAGTTACTCAGAAACCGGACCCAAAGGACACCAACAAGCCTTTAACGCTCCTTAAACCAAAGTGCCGCGGAGAGCAATGATCTTTACTGTTGTCTGAAGTCAGAGAGCTCCCCACTGTGCTGTACTTCCAAGATCAGTGGTGCTTTTGTTTTTGCTGCCAGATACCACTTGACTGTGTTTGACATTGGCCATCACCCAGGCCTCGCCAGCCTCCACTGGCATCTCTGTCTCCCAGCGCATCAATTTCAAGGTCCTCACTATAAATCCTTTCTTATTCTCTCCGATCTCCTTATACCCTGAGTTCAATTCCAGGCAGAGGGCGAAACCTTGGGCAAGTCTCCTTACTCCACACAGAGCCTAATAATAATCCCTCCAAAACCAAAAACAATAATAAATTGGTCATTTTCAATCCATGACTGTTTGTGGGACATTGCTGTGTGCAATTGGCTGCCGCGTTCGCCCACAAATATACAGTCAATTCACTTTACAGTGTGTTCTGTAAAGTGCTTTGGGACGTCCTCCCGACGTGAAAAGCGCTATATCAAATGCAAGGATTATTATTATTATACTCTGCTCTCCCATCTGCTAACTCGGGGTTCCGCCATGTCCCCTGCCCTCTATGTGCCTGAGCTTTCAATTGCTACTCCCCTAATATATATCAAATGCAAGGATTATTTAATATCTGGAACTCCCTCCATCTACCACTCCATCTCACCCCATCTCTTTCTGTCTTTAAATCCTGGCTCAAATCCTACCTCTTTGAACACGCCACTCCCCCACCCCCTTCTTTTCCTCCTCTGCTTTTTCAAATGATAATTTATATCCTCTCGTTACTGATCAGTGCTCTACCACACAGTGATTACTCTTTTTTATTTCATTACAATGTGACCTAGCTGCTGATTCCTCCTTCATGTCTCTTATTAACCTTGTTTTTGTTTCCTTAATTTTTCTCCTTTCTCCTCCTCCCCCCACCTCCAAATCTGATTGTACTCTCAGTTCCACCCCTCCACCCCTTCTTATTTAGCTTTTGTTTGACTTTATGATAGAAAAGCAAGAGAGATAAAAAAAATCTCTTCTATCCTCCTCTTCTCAAGTCTTATCTCTTTAACTGCATTTTTTTCATCCCTACTCCCTGGCCCCTGTCAGTCACCACCCTTAGCTACCCACCCCCAGCTCGGGTGCCCAGTCATTAGTGTCCCGCTCTTTGAGTATATCCTCCCGACATGAAAAGAGCTTTCTACACTAAACCCCGGCTAGCCAGACTAACGGTGAGGGGGGGNAAGAGATACTGTGCGGCGAGCCAGAATTTCTGGCTAAGTGAAATTACAATGCTTTACTGGCATGTACTGGCATTATTCAGTGCCGAAAAATGATGGTAACTGCTTGTACCGGTGTTATAATTGTTTCCATCCCGAGAGCAGAAGACAGAGTAATTGGCTGCTGCGTTTCGCCCACAAAATATACAGTCAATTCACTTTCTAGTATATTCTGTGAAGCGCTTTGAGACGTATCAACGACTTGATGAGGCGCTATATCAAATACCAGGATTATTATTATTAATTAGTCATCTTCTGCCCATAGGATTCAAACACTACGAGTCCTTGTCAATATCCCTGACCAGCAAGCACAGTGAGTCCTATCAACTCCCAGCTCTCCTGGAGTGTACCGTGGTATTGTTATACGCTATGGGATTTGGGAGTCTGTCTACATGTGCGCGGAGCCCTTGGAAAAATTTTGAAATTAAAAAAAAATGTACTTAGATTGGAGAGAGATGGAGGTTCTAAGTATGAATGAACAAACGTATGGGTGACAAAAGGGTGTGTGTTTTTGGTTTCGGGCGCAGTTCAGCTAAGTGGAATTCAGGAGTCCATTAAGTCAGGGATTTACTGTAAATGTATTGTACTTCAGATCATAAAACAACTTGCATTTATGCAGCACCCTTCACACTGGGTAGCGTCTCGGAGCGCTGAACAATGGTGCAGTTTGACACCGAGCTGGGGAGAAAGGAGAGGTGACCCTAGGCACAGTCGGTCGAAGAGGAAACTCTAATAATAATAATAATAATAATAATCCTTGCATTTGATATAGCGCTTTTCACGTCGGGAGGACGTCCCAAAGCGCTTCACAGAATACACTGTAAAGTGAATTGACTGTATATTTGTGGGCGAACGCGGCAGCCAATTGCGCACAGCAATGTCCCACAAACAGTCGTAGATTGAAAATGACCAATTTATTATTGTTTTTGGTTTTGGACGGATTATTATTAGGCTCTGTGTGGAGTAAGGAAACTTGCCCAAGGTTTCGCCCTCTGCCTGGAATTGAACTCAGGTCTCTCGCTTGCAAAGCGAGTGCTCTAACCACTGAGCTACAGGACTCCACGTGTCATCTGGACTGTAGGACTGTAGGTGTCATCTGGAGACGAGCAAAGAGAGGGCAAAGCAGAGACTGAGGCAGAGTTATACAAAATAATGATAATAACCCTTGCATTTGATATAGTGTGTTATCACGTCATTGCGATGCCTCGAAGCGCTTCACAGGATATACTGTAAAGTGCAGTGACTGTGTATTTTGTGGGTGAGTTGCAGAGGCTTGGGAGGGGTAGTTGCTGAAAGCATGGCCGCTGATGATGGAGCAGAGGGGTGAAGGAAAGCACAAACCCAAGCCAGGTGAGCGAAGGTGGTGGCTGGAGGAGTGGGGTGTGAGCAGGTTGGAGAGGTAGGGAGGTTCTTCGGGCATAAGGAATTAATTTGTCACAAAAGGCTGTGTGTTAACATTTGGCTATATTTACTGTCACGGTTTCAGATACTTGTTCCGCACTGGGAACCCAGAGCATCCAGGTGATGTGCTGTTGAATACCAGCGTGGAGATTTTTTCTGCCAAGGTAAGGACGTTTCTTTCAGTGTTTATCAAATGCAAGGATTCTTATTATGTGCTCCCTCCCTCCTTCCCTCCCTCCCTCCCCTCATTGTTTCTCTCCCTCCCACCCCTCATAAATTCCTACCTCATCTCATTCAAGGCCCGTACCTGTTGGAACGTGTTTTCAGATGTTTCCAGTCGATCTTTCCCCTCCCCACCCGCAGTTTGAGGAGCCCAGCCAGCAGTGTAAAGTGCTTTGAGAAGTCCTCGTGAGATGATAGGTGCCATATAAATGTAAATTGTATTATATTGAGATTACTTCTTTCCCTCCCCAGACCATTTGGATAATTAGAGAGGGGGTAGGAGGGGATTATTTTCTATAAAGCTGAATTCATATTTTTTTTTCTGGAACCTTTTGAAACGTCTATCTCTTCCCCACCCCTCTGCCTCCTCATCTTTCCCTTTTTAAATATGCTTAGCATTAAATCCATGTACTGGATTGAGCTGGTAACCTGAGTTGGCTGGTACACTGCTCGAATAATCCTGTGTGCAGTGCCGTGAGCCAAAACCGTGGTTTATTCTTTGAACTTGCTTTCTGTACATAACTCAATCTCGTCGGGTTTGCACTTGTTTGTGGGGTCCTGTAGCTTTGGTGGTTAGCTTGTTCACCTCACAACGGAGAAGTCCTGGGTTTGATTCCCGGTCAGGGTGAAACCCTGGGCAAGTTTCCTTACTCCGCACGCCTCTGTTCACTGAACAGTAAGTAGGAAACCGGTTGTTAGTCAATTTGCAGCTCGTTTTTCCGTGGGTAATAATCCCTCCAAAAAAATATTATTCACTCAATCCATGACTGTTTGTACGCAATTAGGTGTTGTGTTTCACCCAAAAATACACTGTCAACCCACTTTATAATATATTCTGTGAAGCACTGCGACATCTCAATGACGTGATAAGGCGCTATATCAAAAGCTTGAAATTACTATTTTATTATTATTGTTGTTGTTTATTAACTTCATGTCAAAAGCTGGTATTCTCCTTAGACTTTTAAATGCACAGGGAGAGGGGGAGGGGGAAAGAGTTCAATAATTAACCATCTGTTTTGCCTATTTTTGTAACGTCTCTGGTAATCATTCACAGCCACACATTGAGCTATAATATCACAGTTAACCTGTTTGTGAAACCTATTCCTGAGCTCAGAAATAATGTAGAACAATACAGCACTTTAAATAATAATAATAATATAATAATCCTTACATTTTCATGTCAAAATACTTCACATGGTTTTATTGACTGTGTATTTTATAGGCAAATTTGCACACAGCACTGTCCCACAAACAGTCATGAGTGAGTGACCAATTTGTGGGATTGTCGGCCAGGACACCGGGAGAGAAAAACTCCCTTCTCTTTTCGAATAAAACCACGAGATCTTTAACATCCACCTGAAAAGAGATGGGACTTCAGTGCTGTACATAAATCGAGTTTGGATAGTAGGGTGGGTGTTCTGTATCATAGAATTATACAGCACAGAAGGAGGCCGTTCAGCCCATCGCTTTGCAAGTGAGAGACCTGAGTTCAATCCAGGCAGAGGGCGAAACCTTGGCAAGTTTCCTTACTCCACACAGAGCCTAATAATAATCCCTCCAAAACCAAAAACAATAATAAATTGGCCATTTTCAATCTACGACGGTTTGTGGGACATTGCTGTGCGCAATTGGCTGCCGCGGTCGCCCACAAATATACAGTCAATTCACTTCACAGTGTGTTCTGTGAAGCGCTTTGGGACGTCCTCCCGACGTGAAAAGCGCTATATCAAATGCAAGGATTATTATTATTATTATTGTGTCTGTACCAGCTCTTTGAAAAGAGCTTCCAAATCAATCCCACTTCCCCGCTCTCTCCCCATATCCCTGCAAACTTGTCCTCCCCAAATAATTATCTACTTCTCTCTTAAAAACTGTTATCGAATAGGCTTCCAATACCCTTTCAAGCAATGCATTCCATATCCGAACAACTCGCTGTGTGAAAACATTTCTCCTCACCTCCCCTCTGTTTATTTTAACAACTATTTTAAATTGGTGTCCTCGGGTTACCGACCCACCCGCCAGTGGAAATAGTTTCTCCTTGTTCATCCTATTGAATGCCCTCATAATTTTGAAAACTTCTGTTAAGTCTCCTCTTAACCTTCTCCGCTCCAAGGAGAATAATCCTCGCCTCTCTCGCCTCTCCTGATAACTGAAGCCCCTCATTCCTGGTACCATCCTGGTCAATCTCCTTCGCACCCTCTCCAAAGCCTTGACATCCTTCCTAAAGTGTGGGGCCCAGAACTGAACACAGTCTCTCGCTGAGGCCTAACCAGTGTTTGATAAAGGTTCATCATAACCTCCTGACTTTTGTATTCTATGCCCCTATTATAAACTGTTTATAGTTTGGGGAGAGTTCTGGTCTCCCCAGCTCCACTATCCAAAAGATCAGCTCATTCAGAACTCTGCTGCCTGCAAACTGATCCAGACCAAACTCCATCCCCACATCTCCCCAGTTCTGGCTCAGGCTCCACTGGCTCCTCATCACCGAACGGATCGACTTCAAGATCCTCACACTCGTGTTCAAATCCCTTCACTCCCTGGCACCTCCCTACCTCTCCGACCTCCTCACTCCCCAATCCATCACCAGCGCCTTGCTGTGCAAGGTTACTCCTGCCAATTTAGCCTTTCTCCTGAATGTGATGACACTTTGGTTTTGGTTGCTTAGACCTCAGCTCCCTCTGGTGTACAATTAACCATTGTACACGTGAGCCCAGACACTGAGTGTTGGCAGGCAGCTCAGCTGTATTCAGATTTGCAGCCAGACTAAATCCTTGCATTGCTTGCCATCCACCCTTGGAGGGCTGAGCAGGAGTTGATGTGAGGCCATAACAGATGTCACCACAGAGCAGTTGGATGCAAGAATCCAAGCTCATTCTTCTCCTAGCCCGGGAGGTGCTGAGACTTCTATCCACGGGCGCTGCTCATTGCGCAATTGGCTGCTGCATTTCGCTCACAAGATATACAGTCAATTCACTTTACAGTATATTCTGTGAAGCGCTTTGAGACTTCTCGAAGATGTGATAGGGCGCTGTATTATTATTATCATTGCTAATCAGAGTGTCACACTGAACAACCGACATCCCGTTCCTACTGATGTCTGCCCTCGCCAGCCAGCCAGTCTTTCTCTTACCACCTCCCTCTCCCCTTCCAGGATTTTGCTAGTTTAATTGGTTCAAACTCCATATTATCAGAGATGCTTTTGAACTAAGGTGGGAAAAATTCTGCTGCATTGATTGATTAAATAACACATTGCAGATTATTATAATTCAATTTTACATTTACACGGCCTTTCATGTCACAAAGACTTCCCAATGTGCTTGACATTGTTGGCTGGGCACCTGAGCTGGGGAAGGGAGGCAAGTGTGTAGAGATGGGAAAAATGATCAAGAACGTGGTCGAAGAGTGACTTGAATCGCTCGGCGATTTAGTCGATTGGCAGATCGCCTTTCCAGGGGTAATAATTCCTTCAAAAAAAAAAAAGATCGGTCACTTCAATCCATGTCTGTTTGTGTGCAATTGGCTGCTGCATTTCACCCACAAAATATACAATCAATTCACTTTACGGTATATTCTGTGAAGCGCTTTGAGACGTCTCGAAGATGTGATAAGGCACTATACAAATGTAATCTTGTTGTTGTTGTATACCAAATGCAAGGATTATTATTGGATCATAGGAGGCCAAGACTGTTTATAAGCGTCAGCCCAGATATGATACATTACAAATTACATTTGTATATAGCGCCTTTTGTTCCTGTTTCCCCATTCTCTTCAAATAGTATCATTGACTTGTGACTTGTGCGAGCTGTGTGACGTTTGGCTGGTAAAAGGTTCTCTCTATAAACATGAGACTTGCTGCTCCAGTGACCAGTTTGCTTTGTGTTCTCGTGTAGGTTTCAGGATTCAAATTGCCGCAGGAGACCATGGAATCCAGATATCAGCGCACGGATGATGGATTTTTCAAAATAGGTACTGTCAAGCCAAGCTAAATCAACCAGCCTCTCTACTTCAGCCAACTTAATGGGTGTCAGCCTGGCTCAGTCAGTAGCACTCTCACCTCTGAATCAGAAAGGTGCAGATTCAAGCTCCACTTTGTGACTTTTAAGCTCATAACACTGCAGTATATTGGTGGGAGAGCATTGAATCGTCAAAGCTTCTACTCTGAATGCCCTCTTTCTATCTGCAAGATCTGGGCCTTGACACGTTTCATTCGGATATTATGTGTTCCCCAACCCCTGGCTCGGGTGCCAACTCTGTAATGGGCTTTGAGATGCCCTCCCGACCTGAAAGGTGCTACAGTAAAATTTGTATAGGTCCGAACCGTATAAATCATATAATTGCTTGTCTAAGTTGTACATCTGCCCCAGTCCTGTTGAATTTCCTATTACTTATAAGTTTCACATAACTAATACTTTGCATAAGTCTTAAGAAATGTATGGTCCCAACTGACACGATTTGTGTGAGGCTTACTATATATATTATATATATATTGTATTGTATCTGCTTGCATTTGGAGTCACCTACAAAATATATACAGTCATTTCACTTTACAGTATCTCTTAGGAAGCACTTTGAGATGTCTCGAAGACGTGATAAGGCGCTATATTAAATGCAAGGATTATTATTGTATTAAAATTATAATAGAAAATTATCATTATAGCCCTGTGTTACCTAAAAAAATGGCTTAACTGGGCTGAGAGCTTCCCAACCCCTCATCCCAACTCACCAATTTGGAAGGTTCTACTGTCGGGAACCATCCCATCGAGTGACTTCTTGACCTGCAGCAGACACAACTCAACAACAAGAAGCTTTAATCGCGCTTGTGTTTGACGCTACTCAGCAATTCTTTGAGTGGCTGTTATCGTAGACCTTACAGCACAGAAGGAGGGTTTTTAAACTCACCCAGCCTACAACTGGTGCTCACTCCTCCACCGGAGCTTCAGTTGCAATTCTCTGCTCTTTCACTGAACCCTTCTATGTTGTTTCCCCACAACGACAAACACTTGGGTTTGTACAAACACGGGGTTGGAACCCGAGCATCTCAAAGAGATAACACAATAAGATCTAATCCTCCCAGTCTGCAGGTTACTGTGGCTAATGTTCTTTTCAGCAAAGCTGATTACAGCTACTTTTTCTTTCTCTTCCCCCACCCCCTCCCTGTGTATTTTAGGTGAATTTGAGAACGGAATAGCTGAAGGAGCCATTGATCCGAGCTGCAATCCTATCAGTGCCATCAGACTGTCAGTTGTGCGAGATTCCGCGGTGTGGGTTATTGTTAATGAGGTAAGATCTCGCACAGAGAAGGGGGTGGGCTTTGTCTCTCCAAACATCTAAAACATTTTTCACTCTCTAACAACTACAACAACTTGCACTTATGTAGCGTCCCTCACGTAGGGTCCCAGAGCGCTTGACAGTGGCGGAGCATGGCACTGAGATGGGGTGAGGGGGAGGTAACCGTAAGCACGGTCAAAGAGGACTGTGACAGGCACCACCTGATGATAGAGAAGGAAGGAGCTAGGCGGAGGGATAGAGGAAGAGTGTTCCACAGTTTCGGGGCGTAGTGGCCGAAAGAGTGGCCACCGATGGTGGAACGGAGGGCACGGGGGACAAGGAGGAGGTCAGTCGAAGTATGTCCTGGTGCATTATTAATAATAACCCTTGCATTTGATGTAGCACATTATCACATCTTCCAGACGTCTCAAATCGCTTCACAGAAGATAGTGTAAAGTGAATTGACTGTATATTTTGCGGGCGAAACATGGCAGCCAATTGCGCACAGCAGTGTCCCACAAACAGTCGTGGATTGAGTGACCTCCTTCTCAATTTTTTTTTTAAAATGAAAGAAAAAGTGCTCCAAGATGCTACCTCTCGTGAAGGGCGTTGTTGTTGTTGTTGTTGTTGAGCAGCTTGCCGTGCTGGCAGGTGCAGTGTTCCTTAGCCTACAGATCCTGGCTGCGAGAGGCACATCTGGTCAGACACAGTGTTAAACCTCAGAGTCAGCCTATCATGTTTGATGCCAAGTTAATTGCCTAGAAAAGTGGGTCAGCAGCAGGGGGCTGGTAGGGAGAGCATAAAATGCTGCGTATAAATCAGCATCTTGCTGCACGGAGTCTGTCTGTGCTTCTGTGTTGCCCAGTAGGAAGTGTACACCTCCTGTTGGGTCAACTTGGGACATCATTGGTTCCGGAGCTGTCGGTGGCATCTTCGTCTGGTATTCCCCTGAGCCAAGCCAAAGAAACCCGGACATTTGTCCTGCCTTTTCACATCCCGGAATGCTTCGCAGGACACAACACGATACAGATTTACATTTGTACAGGGCCTTACCTGTTGGTGGGACGTCTCAAGACGCTTATCAATCCTGGCCTGCCACCCAAGCTGGGAGTGGGAGGGAGAAAAGGGAGGGATGGGGTGGATGCGAATGTGGTTATCCAGGCAAAAATCCCGCAAACAACAATGAGATCTTTTAATTGTTTTAATAATTGAAGTTGAGCTATAGATCAGCCATGATCTAACAGAATGATAGGACCGGCTCGAGGGGCTGAATGGCCTACTCCTGTTCTTATGAGCAGACAATCAATGAGGGGCTTTTAGATGGTCTGGGATGATATGGGGATATAAACCAGAATAGCGGGGAGGGAAGTGGGGAAAACTCCTAGTTTCTTTATGCAAAAGAGACGATGGATTCCCCTGTACGCCCACAGCTAAATTGCAAGTGAGATGGTATCTAAATTAAGGCCTCATACCACCAGAGCAGTAGAGGAAATCCAAGGGCACAATTATAAGCTACTTAATGTTTAATGGGCCCTGCAATCTTTTCAAATGGTCTCTGTCAAGTTGCAGTTGAAATGTGTTCCAATTCTTTGAACAAATCTTGTATTGTACTGTAAATTTACATGACCGTTTGCTGCAGTGCATTTACATTTTTTCCCCCCCCTCTTTTCCCCTCTCTCTTTCTCTCCTCTGTTTCCCCCCCCTTCCCTGTTTCAGGTTCACCTTAAAAAAGCTGCCAGCTAATCAGGATTTAAGACATTCGTTCGAGAATCAGTTTTCAAACGGAGAGAAAGAAATCTCCACTCCAGTCTAATATTTTAATCGTTCGATTTTAACAAGGAAGAGAAGTGTGGATATTAATTGACGAAGTCGTGGACATAACTACTTCACTGTCTGATCACCTTGAGTAAATGCTCATCGTTCCTGAACTCGACCTCCTACCTCCTGTGAAATCTACTGCAATTTTCTATGTAACTATTTTAATTTTAAGATTGACCACCTGAACTTTTTTTTTAGGGTAGCGATGCTGAAAATGATTAACGGACTGTTCGATTAATTGTAGGTTTGACCAAGGTGTATATATGCATTAGTTTTCTTACCTGTTCTTTATCTGAACAGCGTTGCAAAGTATCAAGTCAAATCAGGCGACAAAGAAGGCTTCTGCGAAAGTGCAGGGTTTATTTTTTGGGGTTAATCATGTTAGAAACTCTCTTGATATAAGTTGTGCATCAGGGACAGAATCTGTACAAAATGTGTGTGTGGTGGAGGGGGAGTTATCTTTAATTTATTATCAGTGTTCTTCGGGCAGTGTTGTGCGTTCATGTTTTTGTAGGATATGCGGATAGACGCACATTTTATTCTCGAACGGAGGACGGATATCATTTTAATTTACCGTCGAAACGCACTCCTTTTATCTTGTGATGGTGTCACTTCACTTCACGAAGGAAACTGTTGTTGCCTTTTAAAAGCGTTGACTTGTGAATGTCGAAACTTGCCAACTTCCTTGCGATGCAGTTTGCACCGCAATGTAAAGACAGGTTTCCAGCAGCATCGAAAAGGCATGTGTTACGATGGGTGCCTTATATTATATGCTACTGCAGCAGGTTATTTGTGGTAACAATGACCCAAATAGAGGTATTTGGAAGAATCATTCTGTGACCCCTTTATTATAAATTAGAATTATAGAATCTTACAGCACAGAAGGAGGCCATTCAGCCCATCGTGCCTGTGCTGGCTCTTTGAAAGAGCTGCCTAACTAGTCCCACTCCCCACCCTTTCAGGCAGTGCTTCCAGATCATAACAACTCTCTGGGTCAATTTTTTTTTAATCTTTATCTCCCCTCTGGTTTTTGCCAATTATCTTAAATCTGTGTTCTTTGGTTACCGCCCCTCCCGCCAGAGGAAACAGTTTCTCCTTATTTACACTTTAAAACCCCCTTAAAATTTTGAACCCTTCTATTAAATCTCCCCTTAACCTTAAGATAACGGCAAGAAACAAGGCAGTGGGGGAGGGCAAGAGACTGTTTTGCTACTTAGCATTTTAAGTTGTAATTGAAATATTTTTCGTAAGGTTTTTTTTAAATTGAAAGAAAATAAATATATATGTGCAGATCGCTTCAGTGACAGAGATGCGTTGTCAAGAGGCAAACTTAAAGATTATTGTCAAAGCAACACATAAATAGGTTCAGATGTATTTCTTTTGTTGCTAAGAAAATAACGCATTGAAGATTCTCTACCGGTGTGGTTTTACTTTGCGAGCAAGAATTTCTAATTCAAAGTGTATTGTATTTTCCTGAGAAAAACAGGATGATTGAATCGAATACGGATTCACATGCTACTCTCTCTCATCTCTCTCTCTCATCGCCGCCCTCTATCACCGCTCCCAGTAATATTTTATCGATGTTCTCTCGGAGGCTCTCTCGTATCCATTTTATGCAAGAGAGGAAATAGCATTGACTTGATGCAGTGCATCAGCAAAAGAGTAGCTCATCTAGACGATGTGTATGGATGAACCCATATTTAATTAGGGTCTTTCTCAATCACGTTAGCTAAAGCATTAAACGGGCAGCCAACAAATGCCCCAGTTTGTATTTGACCATTTTACGTCAGGATCCCCCAAGATTCGATCATCATTAAAAACGCTCAAGGTTGCGTCAAAGTTCCTGAGATGTTTAATCGGAAAAGTTTCCGCAACTCTGAGTGTTTTCAATGATCGGACTATCCATTCCAAATCACATCAAAGTAACAATACAATATGACTTGCATTTATACAACGCCTTTCACGTCAGGAGGACGGCTGAAAGGGCTTCCCAGCGCTGGATGGGCACCCAAGCTGGGGGTGGGAGCCGAGGAGGGTGGGGTGGGAGGAGGGATAAGACGACCGAAAGCACGGTGTGAGAGGCACGTTTTGAGACGTGCCTTGAAAGAGCGGAGTCGGGGGTAACGGTGGTTGAAGTTTACAGCCTTGCAAACCAGAACATCCTAATGGTGCCCTAAAAAAACGGGATGATGTACATCGAGAATTTAAAAATATAAGCATCAGCTTCTACGAACCGAATTAGTAACAGAGTCCGTCACGTAGTAAGCTATTTTCCTGCAGAGTACGCGTTAGAATTGCCAACGTCAGTACTTAATGTTCCTACTATTGCACTGAAGTTGACTCCCTCTGCCCTGGAGAGACTCATTGTGAGTCATGGGAAAACTTAAGAGGTTTTACAAAGGATTTTACAAAGTGAACATTGATTTTTAAATAATCTTCTGCAATACCTCAATCCCTATTATGTCTCTCCTTCAGGCTAGGGTAAATGCGGGAAATTGAAAGTTTTTTTTCTGTGCGGTTCCATATTAAGTGCTACAAGAAAGCCCATACTTTTTTTTCCCCACCATATCATTTTTTTTTAATAAATCTCTATTCAGAATGATTTGTCATTCACCCTCCGCTTAAACCGAGAAAAGTGTTAGATCATTTTATTACTCTTAAAATCAAAACTGAAGACCACTGGCAAAGTAAAATCAAATTGCTGTTCTTTTTGCGAGTTGTTCGGGATGGGACCTTCCCTGTGGCAAATGGGGAAAAAACTCAAGCTTCTGAATAGCGCTTGGAATTCTGTAAAAAAAAAATCTCTATAAAAACCTGGTTTTACATTTTGTCAAATATATATATATCTTTCAATTTTTTTATTTTTAAAGCGTTCGACCACGAAAAATTAAAATAATATAAAAATAATCCTTGTATTTGCTATATCAAATGCAAGGATTATTACATTATTATTTGGGGGTCTCCATAGAGGAGGGAAGAGAAGGAAGAATGGAGTAATGTGATGCGATAGTTTTCACCGATCATTAATGACAAGCACGGAAAATAGGATTGTGTTATTTCTGCCCTATTCATAATGATAGATTGGGGTGAGAGGTTGAGCACTCCTTCCTTCCTTCCTTCCTTCCTTCCTTCCTTCCTTCCTTCCTTCCTTCCTTCCTTCCTTCCTTCCTTCCTTCCTTCCTTCCTTCCTTCCTTCCTTCCTTCCTTCCTTCCTTCCTTCCTTCCTTCTCTGGAGAAGGGTTGAATGGTTCCCCCTTGGCCTTGCAAGATAGAATCGATGTTATCTTTGACTTTAGCTCAGCGAGGAGAATGTATTGCTTTGATCCTCAAGCACCCGCCACTGAGTTTTTAAAAATTATTATTTTGGGCGAGGGAGGTGTGAAATATGTCCCAATTTAAGGCTTGCCCTACACCGACTTTTTTTCTGGCCTTGTGATCGTGATCACATTAAACTTTCTATCCAGCGCATCTCTTCAGTTAAAAGCCTTCACTCTTATTTGGCCTCTCGCTTGTTCAGGAATGAATGGGACGATGGGGCAATATTTTGGCTCTTTCGCTCATTTAGTGCAGCACAACTGCTTTGTGTAGGCTATTGCAGCAGCAACAACAACATATTGCCAATTATATAGTGTCTCTCACGTCAGAAGGACCTCTCAAGGCCCTTGATAGTCCCGGCTTGCCACTGGTGGTGGGGGGGTTAAAATGACCAAAGTTACAGTCAAAGAGAAAGGTCCTGAGATGGGTCTTGAAGGAAGAAAGTAGGCCATGGTAGAGAAATTGTAGGCTCTACAATTTGATGACCAATTCGATGAAACTTGTGAGTTTTGAAATTCTTGCATTTATCCCCGTAAAACCTCCAGGCTGATGTTTTACAAGTATGTTTTCAAAAGTAAGTTTTGCCTATCGTTTTGTCACCGAGGGTAGGGAATCCTCCCACTCCTGGTCAGGCTCCAGCAGTTACCCTAACGCACATTCTAGGGTTCCCCAAGCCTTGGCTCTTGCCAGCAGTACTTTCTGGAGTTAGGTAAGCAGGAGGCGTCCCTCCAGGGAGAGAGTACGTAATCCATTCCAACAATCTGTCTCTGGAATTTCCATGTGTAGGTGGGATGCATGGAATTCTCTTTGGTTTGGATACTCTGAAGCCTGGTGACGGGTTTCTGCATGTGTCAGACACCCGGCTGATCCTCCCAAAACGTTTTGTCAACATCTCCCAGGTACTGGGTGGTAATTTGTCTCAATGACATGCACTTGTGACATTCACTTGCACTTTGCACTAAAGTTGCATCAAATAATTCCCGAGCTATGCAGCATCTGTGGGGACTTGGTGTTTTTAACAAGTCGAGCTCCAGCTCAGTTAATAAGGTATGTCAAACGAGCAATTTTCTTAATAAAAAGCTGGTGTTTGCAAATTTCTAGCATAATGGATGTGGTTATCTCACTGCCAGAATCTTACTTGCACAAATGATTTGAATTTAAATGTCAGAACAGCATCGATTGGGACAAGTGAGGTTCCAAAAGTGTACTTTGGTATATAAGAATGAATTGAAATAAAAGATAGCTCCTCTATCTTTTTATATATAATATATATATAAAGCATAGGTTTATTGCAAATCCATGTAAATTGTTCCCTTTAACAACAATGTGACACAAACCATGGTCCTTTTTGACATTTTAATGCTTTGCTTATTTTTACCAATGGAAATCCTTTTGAGTCTACTTTAATGTTCTGTTTGTAGCTGTGCTGCAATAATGCACTTGCTTTAATTATTGTCGATGTGCCTTCCATCATCAGTCTGTATCATTTTCATACTGTGCCATAACTTTGTGATGAATATAATTATTGGAGTAAAGTTGAACCCTGTTATACTTGAATTGTAAGTTTGTGTTTAACGGGTTGCAGTGAATTCATTTGTTTCTACACAAATAGACTGTTAATTTCCTCCTGCTGTAGGGTTGTGGGCTGAGATTTGTGTAGGAGTTAACTGACGCCCATCACCTTTGCCAATGTGAGATTGTGACAGGAGAAATGCCATTAGCAGCCAAAACATTGCCAAAAACGCTACAAGTAACAGTGACCAGGATTCAACAATTAAACTTGTATGTAATTAGATTTATTGCCTCACAAATATGTATTTATATTTTCACATATTTCACAGCAGAAGCACATCACAAAAAGCACTCACTGCACTTCACAGTATATCCTGGTGAAGCGCTTTGAGACGTCTTCCTGACATGTAAGAAACTCACATGCTCACACACACACAAGGGTATAATCCTTGAGGTTCCTAAGCAGATAGATGGGAATCCATTGCTTTGGGTGGTATCTAGTCCTGCTGGAAGCTGTTTCAGTTTTAAACCTACTTAAATTCTCCAAATAAATGCAAGATTATATTATGTAACAATCATAATCTTTGTTTGTGCTACAGCACCTTATATCAGGAAGGCATTTCAAAGCGCTTCACAGGATTTCACTGTAAAACTTTTTTGTAGGTGAATGCGGTTGTCAGTTTGCACACAACATCCCACAAACATGAAGTGAGTGACCAATTTTATTTGGGGGATTGAAGGCCAGGACACCAGGAGAAACTGCCTTTTCTTTTCAAATAGGCCATGGGATCTTTAACGTTCATGACAGGACCTCAGTTAATGTCTCATCCAATGCAGTCAGTGTACACCCAGCGCTTCACTGGAATGTTAGCCTGAACTCAGACTTTCACATTTACAGAACCCACTTTAATTTAGCCAAAGGCATGTTAAACTGATCTTTCATTCAGAACATTGACAACTTTATTATTAGAACTAGTTGATGTATATGTTTAAAGCAAAAGTCAAGCAGTGAAAGACCATATTTGTAAAAATCTGGGAGGGCGGTTGGCTGATCTGAAGGCCGGCACCATCACACCTGCACTGGAAAGTCAACCTAAACTTTGAGTCAGAAGGATCCAAGTTCAAATTCCAAATTCCACAAATTCAAAGGCGAAGCCGGCTACGCATGGAAATGTCTGGAGTAAAGTGAGCATGTTCTCTCCGTAGGGACATATCCTGCTTACGTGATTCTGGACAACGTTATTCAAAGGCACCAGAACATGCACAATGCCACTAATTTTCAGTACAAACAGCTGTGTCTCCAACTGCTCGACATCCTACTTGGGACAGGCAGGGGAAATGAAAGGAATTGGAATTATTATCCTGTTTTGATCTTCCTAGCTCTGTGTAAAGACATCTCTCACAGGTTATTAAGATGAAAGAACAGTTACATTTGCATACATATCAATGCGTTTCTGAACCTTTTATTGCTTAATTTTATTCATCATCTGCTGAAGAGCTATGAATTGATTGCAGTCTACTCTGGGTCGTCTCTTGGTAACCTGCGCCTAATCTTCTCAGGAATTAAATAAACAGGGTACATCTTTGTGGGGTGAGAGTGCGAATTCCATTCTAAACGCAGGAATTTCCATGTGTAGGTGGGATGACTGGAACTCTCCGTTTGGTTTGGATGCGCTTAAACTTGGTGATGAATTTCCGCATGTGTCAGACACCCGGCTGACCACAAAAATACTAACACGGTCGCAAATCTTCCCAACTACATTTTTCCGGGAGCAGACTGAGTGCTTCGTCAATGAGGTCTTGGTCGCGCTAATGTGCCCTCAACGCTGTGTGCCAAAGGGTAGCATAGCCCAAGTTGGATAAGTACTACAGTGCAGTTCCTGATTTATAACAGCAATAATCCTTGCATTTGATGTAGCATCTTTCACATTAAGAGGATGTCTCAAAACACTTCACATGATCTACTAGTTTTTTGTAAGCATTTATTTATCTTGTGGGAATACGCCATCTTGCTTTCACACACAGTGGCAAGTTGTGAAGTGGAAAATGTGTTACTGGGCCAGTAGGGAGTTCCTTTCATAGGTCAGGCAACAGCTACACTGTGAAATCACTGCCAAAGCAGTGGCAAGAGAGTTTTACTCAGATTGGTTCCTGAAGTACAAGTGCTACATTGCTGGTGTCAGGAATAAAACACCAGCACACCTAACCTTGAGAAGAAAATTCACAGAGAAAGTAAAGTTTGCACCATTGAACAGAAACGCTTACAATTTATAAAAGAAAATATAGATCAGCAGACTTGTAACGGTAAAAATAATCCTTGGATTTTCAAAACACCTTTCAAACAATCAAGAGAATCCTACAGCACAGAAGGAGGCTATTCAGCCCATTGTGCCTGAGCTATCCAACTAGTCCTACTGCCCCGCTCTTTCCCCATAACCCTGCAAATATTTTCTTTTCAACTTTTAGGCAGTCCATTCCAGATTGTAGCATCTCACTGCGTTAAAAAAATTCTCTTCTCCCCTCTGGTTCTCGTGCCAATTATCTTAAATGTTTCATGTTAAGAAAACATCTGAAAGCATTTCACAGGATTTACTGTATGTATTTGTAGGCAAACACAGAAGCCAATTTGTTCACAGAAATGTACTACAAACAGCCATGAAGTGAATAGCCATTTTTATTTGGGGGAATTGATGGTTAGGAGAAATTCCCTTCTCCCTTAATGCCTTGGGATATTTAATGTCCACCTGAACAGGCAGGTGGGACCTCAGTTTAATGATAAGGACAGCATACCCAACACTGCTTCACGCCGCCAGCATTGTATTGCAGTGTCAGCCTAGACTATGAATTCAATGTCTCGACATGGAACGTGAACCCACAAACTTCTGACACAACCAACTAAGCCAGGCTGACACCCCCTCCCTTACAACAACAACAACAACAACAAGATTCCATTTATAGAGCGCCTTTCACGTCAGGAGGACGTCCCAAGGCGCTGCACAGTTGGGTCATGACCCGAGCAGGGGGGAAATGGTCAGGGTGAGGGGAGGGAGAGAGGAGGGGGGAAATGGTCAGGGTGAGGGGAGGGAAGGGAGGGAGCGAGGAGGAGGAAGAGAGTCGAGAGGGGAGCTGAAGGCACGGTCAAAGAGAAAGGTTTTGAGACCGGCCTTGAAGGAGGAAAGGGAGGAGGCGGCGAAGGCACTGGGGGATGGAGTTCCAGAGCCTCGGGGCTGAGAGGCTGAAGGCCCGACCACCGATAGTAGGGCGGTTGGGGCGGGGGACGTGGAGCAGACCGGAGCCAGAGGAACGGAGGGTACGGGCAGGTAGGTAGGGGGATAGTAGGTTGGAGAGGTAGGAGGGAGCAAGGACCTCCTTCAAGACCCGTCTCAAGATCCTCCTCTTCGCGACCATGCCATCGGTCACTCTCCTACCCCTATCCTCCCTCCACTGCTCCTGATTTCAACCTCCAGCTCAGATGCAGATCCCTGACTGCAGCACTTTGGGACGTCCTCCTGATGTGAAAGGCGGTATACAAACATAATTTATTGTTGCTGTCATAAGCAGCAAGTTTTTCACCAGAATAGAAAAGTTAATGAAACTGAATTAATCATCAAGTCAAAGATGAGAGAAATTGGAAGCAAGTCTTGGTCCTTCCATCAGCACTTAGTTTATTTTCTTTAAAAATGCATAATTTTTTGTTGTTAGCCAACGAAATGATTCAACAGACCAGACAATATAACCAATGGGCTAGAACATTTTTCCATTTATTTCCATCCAAGACCCACGGTGGAAAAAAAAAGGATTGATTCACTGCTGTAAATGCTGACTGGCTGCTGTACAGTGCGCATTAGAGTGAGGCATGTTCCATCGTTGAATTCAGTAATTCCTACGTTTGTTGAGTCTTAAGTGTAGTGACGTGAATTGCTGCTGTTTGTGAAAAGGATGTGAAGGGAAGAAAAACCAAACAAGCTTAAGGCAATGCGTCACTTCAAACATTGATAAGATTAGACATCGTTATTCCCTCAGAAACCCAGTACCTCTCATTCTTAGAAAGCTGGTCTCACTCTTACAGCTCTCTCTGTCTCTCACTGCGTCTCCTCACACATAGCGCAGAATTCCTCTCTCCGCAGTTCTGTGTTACAGCAGTCTTTCTTCACAAACAAAAAGCAACTGTTAATTCAAAATTTTAGTGCGCACAAAGTGGTGGGGGGGGAAGTTATGGAAGCTTTTTATTGAAAGGTATGCTTTCTTTCTTGACCAATTGTTCAGGGTCTTACTGTTAAAGGAATGTATTTCATTTGAAAGGATCGAGAGCAATATAAAAAAATACAATCTGGGTGTTTGGTTCAGGGTCCCACTGGTTGTACTGTAGAAAAGGGAATTTCACCACAATTCACCAAACCCATTAAAAACAAAGCTTTCCTTGCCACGCCTGAAATTATCTCGTAAATCTCTGGATCCGTGGGAGAATTGATGTGTATATACAGAACCTATTTACATCTTATACAAACACCGAGACGTCACATCCTAAGCCCAGCAAAGCAAACATATTAAGGAAATGTTTTACTGCGCGGTTTCCAGCTGCTTCTACTGAACTCTGTACTTGTAGAACCAGCACAGTCCTTTGGTGAAGTTCCACCCCAGTCCCAATGACAAGAGGTATAATAGAGCGAGGAGTGCAAATGGATACAGGAGGACGACCGTGTTCTTCAGAAACGGCAGTGCTGTGAAAGGAAGGAACATGGAAAAATAAATACCAACCAAAGCAGAGAGTGAGAATTCCATTAACCCTTAAAATGCTAGCAATTCTACCGAAGCACTCATCTCTCTGGCTGACTGCTTGAGTGCATTTTCAGCTTGTCTTTGTTGCTAATAAAAGCAATAATATTAATAACTGCTCCACCGTCAAGGTAGCTTTATTAATAACAATTCCTGCATTTGATAGCGCCCATAACATCAGAACATCTCAAAGTGCTTCACAGGGAGTTTACTGAAGTTTAGTGACGAAATATATAAGGCAACACGGCAGCCAATTGCGCACAGTAACGACCCACAAACAGCCATGAGGTGAATGACCAGTCTTATCTAGAGGATTGTTGACCGGGACACTGGGAGAAACTCTCTTCTCGAATAGTGTCCTGGGATCTTTAAAGTCCACCAACTAGAAAGTGTAATCTGAACAACAGCGTCCCTGATAATGCAGCGTTCTTACTGACACTGTACTGGGGCGTCAAGCTAGACTACAATCAAATAATCAAATAATCAGATGTCTCAAAGCGCTTCACAGAATATATGTAAAGTGAACTGACTATAGTTTGTGGGCGAAACGCGGCAACCAATTGCACACAGTAGCATCCCACAAACAGTTGTGTATTGAGTGAACAAATTTTTTTTAAAAAAAGGGATGATTACCTCTGGAAAAGCGACCGCCCATTGACTAACAACTGGGTACCTACTTACAGCTAGGTAAACAGAGCCGTGTGGAATAAGGAAACTTGCCTAAGGTTTCGCCCTGCCTGGGAATACTGAGGATGTGAGCATCATTTTGATGGTATCAAACCCGGTAGGTTTGTGCAGTGTTAGCTCTTTTATCAGAACTCTTTTTCATGGAAGCCTAAACAGATAAAGATTGATCACAGATATGACCTGGGCCAACCTCAGAACACTTGTACATCTCAATAGAGAAAATAGGAGCTTCGATCACGAGTCGTAACCTATAGCAACCTGAACTTATCTGCAAAAAAGATAACAAGCCACAAAATCCGACCAAACTGTTTATGGGCAGCTGTGTGCAAATTGGCTGCCTCGTTCACCTACAAGCGCACAGGACACTGTATAGTAAACCTTGTCAAGCACTTTGAGACTAGGTGATAAGGCGCTATATCAAATGCAAGGAATTATTATTTATTGTTAACTGTCCTGGAAGGTATATTTTACACTAATCCAGCTCGTTGTTTAAGTCTGATTTTAGTTTCCATAATTCAAACCTTTATAAATATGCAAGAGCAAATACCTCTAAATACATCGCAGAGCTTTTAAACTCAATGCCTTGGTAGAAACAGAGCACACAAGAGAACTGTCCCAGCCATGTCACATCCAGCCATATGTTTGTATACCCAACGGATGGCTGATTTTCCAAGCAGATGCCAAATAGAGGCAAAGGTATCCAAATGAAGCATGTGGCTAATAATAAAAGCTGGTGTGGGATTGACGTTCTGCTGCCATATGTCGCAGTCACGTTCCAGGAATTGTGCCTCACATTTAAAAGGATATTTTGGTATTACATCACTTTTCATCCATGGTTATTGAAACGTCCATAAGACCCGGGCAAAGGAATGATCAACCCAACTGGAGCATTGACAGAGGGCACTACCCTGGCATTGAAGGCACGTGGGCAAGTTAGAGAAATGTAGCACAGCCTACTTATAACAAGCTTCTTTATTGGTTATAGTTATAACAGTAAATATCCTGTGAAGCACTTTGAGACGTCTCAAAGACGTGATAAGGCGCTATATCAAACATAACATAACATGTAGGAGCAGGAGTAGGCCATTCGGCCCTTCGAGCCTGCCCCGCCATTCAATCATGGCTGATCTTCGAATCTAACTCCAGCTAATAACCTGACCCTGCCTTATCCCCATATCCCTTAATGCCTTTCGCAATAAGAAATCTATCTATCTCAGTCTTGAATATGTTCAAAGACTGAGCGTCAACAGCCCTTTGGGGTAGTGAGTTCCATACATTCACCGCCCTTTGAGTGAAGAAGTTCTTCCTCAACTCAGTGCAAAGGGCTGCCTCTGATTTTAAGGTTGTGACCCCTGGTTTTAGTTTCTCCAACCGGGGAAACAATCTCCCACTATCTACTCTATCATTGCCCTTTGATGACCTTATAGGTTTCTATAAGATCCCCTCGAATTCTTCTATATTCTAGAGAATATAGGCCCAAATTGGTCAACTTCTCCTCGTAACTCACCCCCTTCATCCCTGGTACTAACCGAGTAAATCTACGCTGCACCCCCTCCAAGGCAAGTACATCCTTCCTTAAATAAGGAGACCAAAACTGCACAGTATTCCAGGTGTGGTCTCACCAGGGCCCTATACAGTTGCAGCAAGACTTCCCTACTCTTATATTGCAAAGATTATTATTATTATTATTATAATGTGGTTGCAGTGTGGCCCCCATTCACTGCACACGAGGGCTCGCTCACGTCTAGTGTGCTTTAGCACAAAATGGCCAACTTCTGGGTCATTAAGTCATCACTGATGTCACTTCCTGCTTCCTGAATGTGTGTGAAACAGGAAGTGATGTCAGCAGACATCTCATGACCCAGAAGTTGGACTTTGTTTTAATATACATTAACCAGCGAGCCGGCCGGCTGGCGAAACTGGCTAAGTGGAATTTGTGGATTCCCAAACTCTGCTTTATATATGAGGCTCTAACTCTATCTTAAAAAGGTTCTCAACCTCAAAATAGCTACAGACAAATATTAATACAAGGATGTAGCTCTCAGCAATATCATCTCTCTTCATAAGCAGTCTTATATTAGTCAGGATCAATCGTTATTTACCAAAGTGCACTTAAAAGTTAATGCTTACCGCTGTATCCGAGAAAAGTAACATAGATGTAATAGCCAATGCCAATGAGCCAGAATGAGTTACCAACTAAGTAACCGACGAACCCGGCTTTGATTATAATATCTGAAACGAAAATAGGATAGTACAGTAAATCTTTCAGATAACCCCACAAAACATGGCTTGTACAATACAAAATCTGTGCACTTTTCACTCAACATGAACAGAAAACCCTCTTGGGGGAGGTGGGGGTGGAGGCGGAGGGGGTGCGGAGAGAGGGGCAGATAAAGGTCTTCTTGGAGTTGAACTGGTTCCAGGTGACATGCTTGGAAATGGAATGTTGGAACCGAGTCAACCCTCTCGGGCAGTCTCAGTTGTCCGGTTCCTGAGCCGTCCGGGTCCACTGAACCACAAAGCACTGCTTATGACAGCACATCCAGCCTGGCTCATGGGTAGGACTTGGAGGAGCTGACCAGTCATTAAGGACAGAGTTCTTCCCAGACAGTGTTTTTAATTGCAAGTTATGTGATCTTAGCTGGTTAGACTCCAGCGCACACAAGAGCTTTCCAGGTTGGGGATCATCCTGCTCCACAGACTGCCGACCCCAACAGCAAGCCTGGCATCACATTCTCCGTGAATCCAAAGATTTAAGCACTCAGGGAAAATTTGTACACTCTTATCACGGTTGTTTCTAAGGCACTGGAGAAAACTCCACGATGATTATACTGGACCACTGCAATGTTTCTGCGACTACAGAGCACCACACAAATTGAAAACTACATGGTATAAAATATTTACTTTGCTGCAAGCTATGTGCCCTTTATTTATTACATCCAAATGTGATTGCATGCAGGAAGAACACTCAATTAGCAGTGCAAATACTGGCACGGACAGGTCACGCTGAATGGCGTGTTTTCCATGCTTTAACTTTCTATGTAAAGTAATACATAAAATGGACACACACTACTCCATAAAAATAGCAGAGCATCACAAAACCAGAGTGTAATCCAAGGGCAATGCCCATATTGTGTCCAAATCAAGCCTAGGGTTTTGCTTTCTGATTTCTATTTAAACATGAGACTCATTCAGTGAGTCTATTATTGAATAGAATCGGCCTTTTCGAGTGGCTCCTCTCGTTGGAACTTTCTCTCACTGCAGACACCTCTAGGCAATGCGTTTCATGCTTCGTTTCTTCTTACTTATTAATTAGCTATTAATTTTCCATCATCAGCCTCTACGCCCCGCAACGCTGGAACTCTCTCCTTCAATCCCCCCGCTTTGCCCCTCCCTCCCTATGTTCAAATCCTGCCTAAAGACCTTTCTTTTTGATCGTGCTTATGGTCACCTCCCTCTCCCCCTGGCTCGTTGTCAAGACTCCGCCATACTTTATTAATAAGATTTAAGACAAGAGTGCAGCATTGCTGCTAATCTCAGAGACAATGACACCAAACGCCATTCAGTTACAAATTTGGAGACAATCAATGTTATTGACCCAACCCGCACCATATACAACAACAACTTGCATTTATATAGCTCCCTTGACACGAGCAGAGTCTCGGAGCGCTCAGTATATATTTTGGGCGCACTTGTTCCTACGCTCATTTAAATGAGTGACCTACGGGACATGCACTGCATTCAAATGTGACTGTCTGACATTACCGTGTTGATCCACTATTTGAACATTGTAATTTTACAATAATTTGACAATGAAATTGCAGAAGCAAATCAGACAAGTGTTAATTTCAAGTACCTTGACTTTCTCTCTCACACACAGGGAATGTTCAGTCAATTGCTTTCTCATACAATTCAGAAAGTGAATCCTTAACAAAACAGAAAGGATTCTGTGCTGTCTCGAAGACGTGATAAGGCGCTATATCAAATGCAAGGAGTATTATTGTTATTATATAAGGAGATAGAGGACTTACGGTTTACAAAGAAGAGCTGGATAAAATGCAAGATGACAAGAAGTGGATAGAAAGCGTTCAGATGGATGTCAAAGGCATAGCCCCACTCCACATCGTACTCTTTGCTTTGTGGTTTCATCAGGTATCTGTTGGTAACAAACCTGAAAATACAATAAAAAGCATGGTCCAGGATAAGTCCACAGAGGCTAGACTGGATCTGAGACGCATTTCCAACAAGCAAAAGAATGAGATAGACTGGCCCCAGAATACTAAACACAGCAACAGGAACAATAACTTGTATTTATAGTGCCCCTCACACAGCCCAGCGCCTCAGAGTGCATGATAGTGGCAGAACACGACGCCGAGCCGGGGGAGGTGAACCTACGGTCAACGAGGATGGTCTTCAGGTGTGACCTGAGGATGGGGAAGGAGGGGGCAAGGTGGAGGGGACTGAGGAGAGTTTCAGAGCATAGCAGCTAATACGTGGCCCCAGTGGTTGAATGGAAGACACAAGGAACAAGCAGGAGGCCGGAGCCAGTTGAGCGGAGGCAGCAGGTTGTGGGTTGGGGGGTAAGCAGGTCGGAGAGGTAGGGAGGTGCCAGGGCATGAAGAGATTTGAAGAGGAGTGTGAGGATCTTGAAACCACCAACCCGATAAAGCTCCTTTCATTAAGTTTGCTGGTTTGTGCCAAATTATAAGGACCAACTCCCTTAGGTGTGTGTTCAGACCGCCCCAAGCTTGTTTTACCGGTTAAGTCTTCAGCCACCAGTATTTCTGCCCTCTCACCCATCACTCTGGCTAACTGCACACAACTTACTGGCATCTCTAAACTTTTCACTTGTAGCTTTCTTTTTTTTTAAATTCCTTACATGAATCTGAACCTGTGATAAAAATTTTCAAAGGTCAAACATGATTGTTGTTCCAGGTTTCCTCCAGACTTTGACCACAATGTACAATGTTCACACACTCCCTTCTTAACTCAAGTACTAAGTACAACTATCAAACACCTCGTGTGTAGCACAACAACAACAACAAGATTGCATTTATAGAGCGCCTTTCACATCGCGAGGACGTCCCAAGGCGCTGGACAGTTGGGTCGGGACCCGAGCAGCGGGGAAATGGTGAGGGGAGGGAAGGGAGGGAACGAGGAAGGTGTAGAGAGTCGAGAGGGGAGCTGAAGGCACGGTTGAAGAGAAAGGTCTTGAGACCGGCCTTGAAGAGGAAAGGGAGGAAGCGGCGAAGGCACTGGGGGATAGAGTTCCAGAGCTTCGGGGCTGAGAGGCTGAAAGCCCGGCCACCGATGGTAGGGCGGTTGGGGCGGGGGGTGTGGAGCAGACCGGAGGCAGAGGAACGGAGGGTACGGGCAGGTATGTAGGGGGGAGAGGTAGGAGGGAGCGAGGCCGTAAATGGCCTTGTAGGTGAGGATTAGGATCTTGAATTGGATCCTCTGGGGGATGGGGAGCCAGTGGAGGCGAGCGAGGGTGGGAGTGATGTGGTCGCGGTGTCTGGTGCGGGACAGTACACGAGCTGCAGAGTTCTGAATGACCTGCAGTGTGGAGGGAGGGCCGGGAAGGCCGACGAGGAGAGAGTTCCCGTAGTCCAGCCTTGAGGTGATAAAAGCGTGGACAAGAGTTTCAGCAGCGTGAGGTAATGCCGATGTTCCGGAGGTGGTGGAAGGCGGTGCCAGTTGTGACGCGGATGTGGGGAAGAAAGGACAGAACCCCGAGGTTCCTGATTGGCTTTGAGAGGTGGAGAGTGCAGCCTTGGATGCTGATGTTGCCAGAGGTGCGGAGAGGGTCTCAGTTTTGCACACATAGAGCTGAAGAAAGTTGTCTCTTGTCCAGGTCTCGATTTCAGACAGCACGGAAACCCGACTGGAGGGGTTCAAATAGAGAATGGGTGGAGAGGAAAGAGCGCAGCTGGGAGGTGACGGCTCTTTCGAGAACCTCGGACAGGAAGGGGAGGTTGGAGATGGGCCGGTAGCTTGATAGCTGCGACGCATCAAGGGAGGGTTTTTTCAGTGTGGGAGTGATGATGGCAGTTTTGAGGGGAATGGGAACAGAGCCAGAGGAGAGGGACATGTTAATGGTGTCTGTGAGAAGTGGGGCAAGGAGGTGGAGCTGAGAGATAAGGAGTGGAGTGGGGATGCGGTCCAGGGAGAAGGTGGTGGGTTTCAAGGACAGGATGAGGTTGGTGACAGAGGGTGGGGAAACGGGTTCTAAGGTGTGTAGGGGAGGATGGGTAGGAGTCGGAGTGTGGGAGGGAAGGGGTGGGTGGAAGTTGGAGGGGCAGTGACCGCGGAGCAGATTCCCTTGATTTTGGATTCAAGAAAATCCAGCATCTCCTCGCAGTGAAGGTTGGAGGAGATGACCTGCGCGGGGTGGCGCGGGGGACGGAGGAGTCAGGATGTGGTAGAGACACAAAACCTGCAGAGATGTAAACTTTAACTTAAGACCTTCCTGTTCGATCGCACGTTCGATCACCCTCCTACACCTACTCTCCCTGCCCTCCACCCCCCGGCTCAGGCTCAAATCCTTGACTGTCCAGCACCTTGTGACGTCCTCCCGAAGTGAAAGGTGCTATTAAAAAGTGATTTGTCGTACCCATAAACTAGCGGCACAGTGTATTTGAGTGCTCTACGCCCTATTGTACCCTGACTTTACCAAATACATCATCTTTTCATATAATTAAATGCTATGTCGTGGACACCTTGCTCTCCTTTTTTTCGTCACTAGTATCTGGCACCATCCGGTGGAAACAATAGTGACTTTCAGTGCCTCGTTTTAGCATCAAATCACATTCCAAAGAAAATTCTAGTCCATAGTCTGATGCGTTTCTATTCCTTCATTTCCCAAACTAGCTGCAAACATATGAACATAGGAACACGATTAGGCCATTCAACCTCTCAAGCCTGTTCCATCATTCTATTAGATAATGACTGATCTGTACCTCAACTCCAACTACCCGCCTTTGCCCCATATCGCTTGGTACTCTGACCTAACAGAAATAACACAAAATGCACAAAATGTTGAGCGTTCAATGTTAAGCTTCTTTTTCCACTTACCACATGAACGTGGCTATGAGTAGTCCAACGCCTACACAGTCGATGAAGACGACCCACAGAAGGAGTTTTATGGTTTCAAAAAACCCCATTCCCAACACGAAGCCGAACCCTACAGTGGACACTGCGAAGGACAAAAATTCTCACAGTGAATTCTTCCAGAGTTAAGAAAAAAATCACCACCCACATTGTTCCGTAATTTAAAAATTACGTCAAAGTAAAACTCACAAAAGTCACATCAGTTGAGACCATAACTTTTTAACGTGACTTTAGCGAAGTCTGAGTTGCAGTAAACTTGTGTACATCGTATAACATCAACAAAATTACATGTGTATAGCACCTTTCACGTCGGGAGGACGTCCCAAGGCGCTGGACAACCAGCGTTTTGGACCTGAGCTGGGGGTTGGGATCGGGGACGGTGGGGGGGAAGGAGGGTAAAGAGGAGGGTCTTGAGAGTATAAAATCCGATTAATAATCTGCACTATGCATGTGTAATTCAATGCAGCCGGTAAGTGTGCGTAATGACGGCTCTAGACTACGTTTCCTTATGCGATTCAACGCATCTTGACCCGCTGCTGCATGTGCGCTCACCAGCAAGCGTTGGAATAGCATTGAATCGCGGGAAATGAAGTAGTTATATTCCGCTCTCTATCTGTCTGAGTAACTTATACTGCGTGATGCAGTGAAGGCGCACCATTGCGACTAAGTTACCGATGTCCCAGAGGAATGGCCAATGATGAATGAAAACAAGGAAAAAGTGTAATTAAGTGGAAAAGCTCTATTTGACGCTGATTTAGATGCTACGGTTTATTACGATTCACGACTCTCAGGACATCAGCTACTATGTTGATATTTTACATCTCTTTCAAGGATGTTATTTACTTTTACATTGTTCTTAAACATTTCTCCCCCCCCCCCCCCCATGATTTCAGGGGAAAGGTTGTTCTCCAACCCCAATGCCCAAGGACCCATTCATCGTAACCAAGCTAACGCAGGGAGCTTCTTCCGGCCCCTGGCCATCACCCAGATAAAACTGGTCACTCACTTCATGGTTGCTTGGGAGACTTTGCTGTCCGCAAATTGGAGTTGCTCTGCATAGTGATTGGCACGCTTGCCTCGGAAGAGGGAGCAACCGTATTCGATTCCCGGGTGGGGCGAAAACTTAAGCAAGTTTCCTTACTCCACACAGTAAGGAAGCAGTAAGTTGGAACCCAGTCGTTAGTCAATTGGCGGGTCGCTTTCTGGGGATAATAATCCCTAAAAAAATGTGGTCACTCAATCCATGGCTGTTCGTGGGACTCTGCCGTGTTTCGCCCACAAAGTATACAGTCAATCCACTTTACAGTATATTCTGTGAAGCTCTTTGAGATGTTTCAATGACGTGATAAGGCGCTGTATCTAATGCAAGGATTCTTCCTAATATTATTATTATTATTATTAAATTGGCTGCCATGTTTATCTACACATACAGAGTCACTAGGCTTCACAGCAAAACTCTGTGAAGACCTTCAGACGGTCTGGTGACACGATAAGACATTACAACAACAACTTGGATGCGTATAGCGCCTCCCACGGCAGGCGGCGTCCCAGAGCGCTTAACAATGGCGGAGCCCGATGCCGAGCTCGGGGGAGGGTGACCGTAGGCACGGTCGAAGTGGAAGTTGCTAAATCAAATGTGAAGTATATTATTAATCATTATTTAATCAGTGGGAGATGACGGTTGAGCTGGAGCTGACAGCTGCTCTGCCCGCTGAAAAAAAAAAACGCACTGTCATCAGGGAATCAAACTAAACTTTAAAAGATTACGTTACTGTCACTCAGGTGAGGTGTGGACTTCAGCAACATGTGAGTTCACTGCTGAAAGCTATCTCCCACGTATCAACATACAGCAATACAGCGCCTTCTGTGACACTGCAACAAAGCAAGCAAGAAAGAACCGCCGTTGTTACAGCGCCTCACGTCAAAACATGTCAAAAGCTTTACGGTAATTAATGTCAAGTGTAGTGACTCGAGAGAATTAAGCAGTGAATTTCCTGTCCGATGTGCAGTGATAAAATACCTGAACTAAGCAATGGACTCCAAAATATTTTGTAATTTGTAACTCTGAGGCTGACGGCACAAAAACACTTTCAAACTGCTCATCTTTGAAGATCAATTAAAAAACAAACGCTGCTTCCTACATGGGATCCCCACATACCTCCCACTGAGAATGGACAGCATTAATAATCATAATCCTTACATTTTGAGACCCTCAACTATCCTTTCTACCCCACATCTGCACCATGACCCGCTCTGCCCTCCTCCGTAACATCGCCCGGCTCCGCCACTGTCTCACACCACAGGCCGCCACCGAGACCCTCATACACGCTTTCATTACATCGAGGCTTGACTATGCAAACTCCCTGCTTGTCGGGTTCCCCAACTCCTCCCTCCATAGGCTGCAGATCATCCAGAACTCTGCAGCCCGAGTCCTCTCTCACACCAGGCTCTGGGACCTTGTCACTCCCACCCTCACCCGACTCCACTGGCTTCCCATCACACAGGGGATACAGTTCAAGATCCTGGTCCTCACCTTCAAAGCCCTCCATGGTCTTGCTCCCCCCTACCTCTGCGACCTCCTAACCCCCTGCCATCCTCCTTGGTCCCTCCGCTCAGCAGGCTCCGACCTGCATGATGTCCCCTGCCTCACTCACCCTACTATTGGCGGGCGGGCCTTCTGCCACTCTGCCCCCACCCTCTGCAACTCCATCCCACTCCCTCCGTCTCGCCACCTCCCTCGCCTCCTTCAAGACCAATATCAAGACGCTCCTCTTTGACCATGCTTTCGATCACCCTGCTTCCCCCCCGCCCTCCACCCTCCCCAATCCCGACCCCCAGCTTGGGTCCAAAACACTGACTGTCCAGCACCTTGGGACGTCCTCCCAACATGAAAGGCGCTATACAAATGTAATTTTGGTGTGTTGTATATTTTGTGCGCGAAACTCAGCAGCTATTGCACACAGCAGTGTCCCACAAACAATCGTGGAGTGACCAATTTTTTTTAAGGGATTATTTACCCCTGGAAAAGCAATCCGCCAATCGACTAACAACCGGGTTCCTACTTACTGCTGGGTAAACAGTGTGGAGTAAGGAAACTTGCCTATCGTTTCGTTCCGCCTGTTAATTGAATCCATGGCCTCTCACTTGCAAGGCGAGTGCTCTAACCACTATGCTACAGGATTCCCCAGTGACCTGCTTCGAGCTGACTGGTGTGGAACGGTAGCAGATTGAGGACTAAGCTGGTAGCTTTCAAACAATACAGATTTTATGTAGGAAAAACATGTGATGTGAACTTAGGCACCTACTGCTGAATGTTCTGAGGAGATTATCAAGTGCCTTATGTCAAGCATAACCATTCACCAAGTGACTTACATAATTCACGAGTAGAAAGTAAGCAGATGAGTTTTTATGGTATTCAACCAGACCCATATTCTGTGATGGAGAGTAGTGGCACTTTTCAAGCGTTTAAACTTTTTTTTGCAAAGGGAAACTTTCTTCAGAGGTACAGCAACACCCAGCTTCACCAGATGGCAGGCTTCAGGTCAGATAATTACTACACAGCACCATTCAACTCTGTGTGACTGCTGGTCAGCATAGAAACTTACAGCCCAAACAAATGCCATTTAGCCCATCATGTCTGCTCTGGCTTTTTGAAAGAGGAATCCATTCAGTTGCACTAACCTGCTTCCTCATCCCTCATATCCTTGCAAATGACAGTAACTTGTTTTCCATCTCTATATTTAGACATCTAACTAGTTCCCTCTTGAAAGCTCATATGGATTTTGCCTCGCCCATCGCACCAGGCAGGGCATCTCACATCCTATCAGCTCCTCATATAAAATAACTTCCTCCTAATTTATTCAGGTCCATTATATAACAGGTCCCAGAATTATTATATGATTAGAACAGAGTTGAAATGTGTAACAACAGATCTTAAATTATAGTGTTCTCTAAACTAACCTCAGAAGACCTTGATGTCATTTTTAAAATCGTAAGAACATAAGAACTGCTGGACGAAAAAAGACCAAGGTACAGCTAGTTTGCCTTCCACCTTCCAGGTGCCTCATGCACATAACTGCCAAACTATCTATGTAACTAAATCCCATAATGTTATTCCCTAAAAAAAAATGACCTAATCTGTGATTGAAAGAATCAACATTTCCTGCTTCAATCGTCTCCCTAGGGAGCCTGTTCCCTCCCACCCTCCACCCCACCATCGGAGGTCGGGCTTTCAGCCACTGCGCCCCGAAACTCTGGAACACTTCTCCCTCAATCCCTCAGCCTTAGCCCCTCTTTCCCCTTTTACAAGTCCCGCCTGAAAACCTTCCTCTTCAACCGTTCTTATGGACACCCCCGGCTCGGAGTCAGGCTCGTCCGCTCTAAAGCGCACTGAGACACACTATCTTGCGTGGTGGGTGCTGCATAAGTACAGGTTGTGGTTGTTGTTGTATGTTGAAGAACAATATTGCCCATAATTTGTCACTGGCTGTTGGGGATAATTAGCAACCACGTCTCCATACATAACATTACGTTCAATTCTAATTTAATTTTGGATGAGACGTTAAACCGAGGTCCCGTCTGCCTGTTCAGGTGGACATTAAAGATCCCATGATGCTATTCGAAAAGAAAAGTGGGTTTCTCTCACGGTCCTGGCTAACAAACCCCCAAATAAAACTGTTCACTCATGGCTGTTTGTGGGACTTTGCTGTGAGCAATTATACCAATATCAAACGCAAGTATTATGATTGCAATAATTTTATGTAACGTTTTGAGACTTTCCTTTCACAATTTTTTTCACAAAAAAGGCACTGTATATCAGGAAGGGAGGTTGAGGCCAGGGCACTGGACCTGTTCAAGAAACAGCTTGATTCTGAAGTGGGAGCTTGTATATTCTGGAAGGGCGAGATCAAATGGGCTGAAGGGGCTCGATCTTACGATATTATAATAATAATAATAATAATAATAATAATCCTTGCATTTGATATAGCGCTTTTCACGTCGGGAGGACGTCCCAAAGCGCTTCACAGAACACACTGTAAAGTGAATTGACTGTATATTTGTGGGCGAAAGCGGCAGCCAATTGCGCACAGCAATGTCCCACAAACAGTAGTAGATTGAAAATGACCAATTTATTATTGTTTTTTGTTTTGGAGGGATTATTATTAGGCGTGAGGAGTAAGGAAACTTGCCCAAGGTTTCGCCCTGCCTGGAATTGAACTCAGGTCTCTCGCTTGCAAAGCGAGTGCTCTAACCACTGAGCTACAGGACTCCGTGTAAATTAGTGCAAAAATCCTGTTCAGCGCTTTGGAACGTCCCACGTTGTGAAAGGTGCTTAACAAATGTAATTTTGTTGTTGTTGTAGTACTCCTGGACTACCTTGATTTAGAATTACTGCAACCCTTGATGATCAGATAGCCCAGGTTGATCCTATTACCCTTTTTATGTTGTGGAGTCCTATAGGGTGTTGGTTAGAGCACTCGCCTCGCAAACGAGAGGACCTGGGATCAATTCCTGGGCAGAGCAAAACATTAGGCAAGTTTCCTTACTCCACGTGCCTCTGTTTATTTAGCAATATGTGGGAACCCAGTGGTTAGTCGACTGGCGCATTGCTTTCCTGAGGTAATAATTCCTCAAAAAAAAATTTGGTCACTCAATCCACAACTGCTTGTGGGCACTGCTGTGCGCCATTGGCTGCCGTGTTTCCCCCACAGTCAATTCACTTTACAGTATATTCTGTGAAACGCTTTGAGACACCTCAAAGACATGATAAGGCACTATATCAAAGGATTATTGTATCAAATGATAGGAATGCCCATAATTGGCGATTCCCTCAGAAGCCACTCACCACACAACCAGATACTGAGCAAAACCAGGAAGGCCGGGTCATCTCTGGCCCACTGATCCTTCGTCTGTTTCCTGTAGTGAAAGTTTCTGTACACCATCTGTGGCGACGTAAACAGATAAAACATCTGCCACATGGCAAACTCAAAATCCATCTGCTTCACGCGGAAAAGTCGTCGGAGGTACTTGTACCGCTTGGCTCCAGCTGTATGGCGGGCAGCATCGCGGGAGTTTAACGCACCATTCCCATGATTCGTGGCACTGAACGCTGTTGTTGGTAGCATTTTTGCTGAAAGGCAAAGAAAACCGTATTTAATCTTTTCTTTAAAAACAAGAACATTTCCCACCACAACTCCCATACTGTAAAGTGAGTCACAAATCCTGCTCCCCTCTCGACACTTTAGCGCTTGGGTTCTTGTGAGTATTTGGTCTGTTTAGCTGGTTTTACTTCAGTTAACATAACATGTAGGAGCAGGAGTAGGCTATTCGGCCCTTCGAGCCTGCCCCGCCATTCAATCATGGCTGATCTTTTAATCTAACTCCAGCTAATAACCTGACCCTGCCTTATCCCCATATCCCTTAATCCCTTTTGCAATAAGAAATCTATCTATCTCAGTCTTAAATATGTTCAAGGACTGAGCGTCAACAAGCCTTTGGGGTAGTGAGTTCCATACATTCACCACCCTTTAAGTGAAGAAGTTCTTCCTCAACTCAGTGCAAAGGGCTGCCTCTGATTTTAAGGTTGTGACCCCTGGTTTTAGTTTCTCCAACTGGGGAAACAATCTCCCACTATCTACTCTATCATTGCCCTTTGATGATCTTATAGGTTTCTATAAGATCCTCTCGAATTCTTCTATATTCTAGAGAACATAGGTCCAAATTGGTCAACTTCTCCTCATAACTCACCCCCTTCATCCCTGGTACTAACCAAGTAAATCTACGCTGCACCCCCTCCAAGGCAAGTACATCCTTCCTTAAATGAGGAGACCAAAACTGCACAGTATTCCAGGTGTGGTCTCACCAGGGCCCTATACAGTTGCAGCAAGACTTCCCTACTCTTATACTCAATTGCATGGATTATTATTATTATAATGTGGTTGCAGTGTGGCCCCCATTCACTGCACACGAGGGCTCGCTCACGTCTAGTGTGCTTTAGCACAAAGTGGCCAACTTCTGGGTCATTAAGTCATCACTGATGTCACTTCCTGCTTCCTAAATGTGTGTGAAACAGGCAGTGGTATTGGCAGACATCTCATCACCCAGAAGTTGGACTTTTTTTAAATATATATCAGCCAGCGAGTGGATTCCCAACCTCTCCAAGACAAGTACATCCTTCCTTAAATAAGGAGACCAAAACTGCACACAGTTTCTGCACAGAGTACAGATCCACGACCTATTCAAGCTGAAGAGCCTCACTCTACATCAAGCTGTGTTATCATGGGGTCAGACTCTACATAACATTTCCACTTGTCTGGTATAAAATATGCACTTTCTCTCTGGAGGGTTGCAGCTCTCTTACGTAATTCTGGAGAATTTAGGCTTGGGGATCCCAGCGTGTTTTGGGGTACTGATAAAGTGTAACCAGTAGTACTCCATATTGCGCAGCTTTCCACTGTAAACACTGTTTGGGAAGCTTCATGCTGCTTGTTCAGCTAGGGCCACCTTACCCTTAGGGATCTGACTTGGATGGTTATCAGTTGCTGAGTGGGAAGAATACCAGCTCCCAGTGACTCCTCCAACTCTCGCTAATGAACCGGGCGGTCTAGTTCATCAGCAACAGTGCCTTGAGTACTGTGGACCTATCTGGCTCAGTGACTGACTACTGAGACAATCACAGAGATTGACTCAATTTTGGTATTCCCCCGTTAGGCACATCACTTGCCATGTCAGCTCCAAAGAGACCCCAAAGGATTGTCATTATTTTGACAATGCAGGTTTCAGGTGCCAAAAAATATAAACGAGGGAAAATGACTCAAATTCAGAAGAGGAAAGGTGACAGACCATTCAGATTTGAATTATTTGATAGAGGATGGTGAATATGTGAAGGGAGAATCACACAACAACCGTGGAGGCAGAGCCACTTCAAGGAAACATTAGGGGTGTGAGAGATATAATGCAGAATTCTCTTTTTTGGTCCAGTACATTCCAACAAATGCATAGAAAAAGGCTAACGCTGGCAGGCAATTCAAACGTGCTCAATCCGGTAATCTGCTATCAACCACACGTCAAGAATTGGAATCATAGCTGAAATGTTACCCCTTCTGTAATGCTGAGGCCAACTATAACCCCAGAGGCTGGTTTGGCTGAGATCAGCTAATATAGTAGAGACCGGGATTGGAACCTGTGACTATAATAATAATAATAATAATCCTTGCATTTGATATAGCGCTTTTCACGTCGGGAGGACGTCCCAAAGCGCTTCACAGAACACACTGTAAAGTGAATTGACTGTATATTTGTGGGCGAACGCGGCAGCCAATTGCGCACAGCAATGTCCCACAAACAGTCGTAGATTGAAAATGACCAATTTATTATTGTTTTTGTTTTTTGGAGGGATTATTATTATTATCCACTACTCAGTGGAGCTAAAAGGCACGTTCCCTTTCTGGAACAGCGACGTCCCAAACAATCTGCACGACAATCATTGTGGCAATAGACCTGTTAGGGCATAAACTTGTGCAATATTGATTTCTGAATGCAGGCATTTCAGAGGGTGTCTGCTTAAACACTTAACTTTAAAAATAAAAATTGTCATCAGTCTGGTGGCAATGATTTAAAACACACACAGAAACACAAATTGAGAAACCTAGGGTGCTAGCATTTGGCTCACAAAAAACACAACGGTCACTGACTGCACTAGTGACTGGGTGTTGGTACAATATCGAAGCCTGCAAAGCTTTCCTGATGCTCTCCTGACATGATGTCAAATGCAAGGATTGTCCTTATGTAATAATAATAATATTAATATCCTTGCATTTGATATAGCGATTTTCACGTCGGAGGACGTCCAAAGCGCTTCACAGAACACACTGTAAAGTGAATTGACTGTATATTTGTGGGCAAACGCGGCAGCCAATTGCGCACAGCAATGTCCCACAAACAGTCGTAGATTGAAAATGACCAATTTATTATTGTTTTTGGTTTTGGAGGGATTATTATTAGGCTCTGTGTGGAGTAAGGAAACTTGCCCAAGGTTTCGCCCTCTGCCTGGAATTCAACTCCGGTCTCTCACTTACAAAGCGAGTGCTCTGACCACTGAGCTACAGGACTCCATGTACAGTGTTCCTGCCCTGTGAGAGACGCAAATATGTCCCCATTCACACTGCAATGAAGTCACCACTGTTCCTTCGAGAGAGGGGGGTCACCCAAGAGACTAATGATCCCATGTCACTATTCGAAAAAAGAAGGGGAGTGTCTGTCTGTGTCCCAAAATAAAATTGGTGATTCACGCCTTGGCTGTCTGAGGGACATTACTGTGTGCAAACTGACTTCTGCGTCTGCCCACAAAATACACAGTCAATACACTTTACAGTGTATCCTGTGGAGCGCTTTGAGACGTCTCAAAGACACGATTAAGGCGCTGTATCAAATGCCAGGAATATCGTCATTATTATTGGCCATCGCACCACTTGGTGTCCAGCCCCTCGGGCGCTATATAAATAGTCCGGCAGTGTCGTGGTGAGAGCTCTGTCCCAGCAGGAGGGCCCGGGTACGGGTCCCGGGCCGGGCAACACCTGAGGCCAGGTTCCTCCCTCCACACCTCTGGGTTTACCTGAGGAGAGTGGGACCCCGGCTGTCAGCCGATCGGCCGATCACTTTCTGCAGCGAATATTCCACCTCCTCCCTCTCCCTCCCTCTCTCTCTCACCCCCTCCCTCCCTCTCTCACTCCCTCCCTCTCTCACTCTCTCTCTCACCCCTCCCTCTCTCACTCTCTCCCTCTCTCTCTCACTCCCTCTCTCTCTCACTCCCTCTCTCACTCCCTTCCTCTCTCACCCCCTCCCTCTCTCTCCTCCCTCCTCTCACTCTCTCATCCCTCCCTCCCTCACTCTCCCTCCCTCTCTCTCCCTCCCTCTCTCCCTCCCTCCCTCTCTCACTCCCTCCTCTCTCACTCCTTCTCTCCTCCCTCCTCCTCTCTCACCTCCCTCCCTCTCTCACTCACTCCCTCCCTCCTCCCTCTCTCACTCCCTCCCTCACTCCCCCCCACAAAAAAAAATTGCCGTCGCTGATCCCACGGCTGTTTGTGGTGGGGGGAGGGGGGCGCCGCATAAACGTACAGTCACTACACTTCACGGTACGTCCTGTGAAGCGCTTCGAGACGTCTCGAAGAGGCGCTGTACCACCTGCAAAGATTGTCATTATTATAATAATAATAACAACATATGCGGGTGGTGGGGGCGGCGGCGGCTGTTGTTGTTGTTGATGATGATGATGACTGGACAGCTCAGGCCTCACTCCTGCGGCCTCTCCTCCCCCCTCCCCTCCCCCCCGGGCCCACACTCACTCTGACCTGCCGCTGTCTATCGCCCCCTCCTCTCCCTCCCTCCCGCCCCCCCTCTCCCGCCCCACTCGCCTCCCCTCAGCTTCGGCCGCGAAAGGCAGAACACTCACCACGTAGGTGGCGGCCGACGGCGCCTTCCGTCAACTCGACGTCTTCCTCTCTCTCCTCCCCAACCCGTGCGTGCGTGAGTGCGTCACGTCGCGTCGCGTCACGTCACGTCGACCTTCTCCCGACCCGACCCCCAACCTGTGCGTGCGTGCGTCACGTTACGTCACGTCGACCTGCTCTCCCCCCCCCCCTCCGAGCCCCAACTCGCATACGCTCACCGAGTACTGGGTGCCCGTCCCTTTTGACGCGCATGCGCGCGGCTCGCCCTCAACCCTCGAAGCGCTCTGGGAAATGTAGTTGTTTGGTGGTTGGGAGACGCCATGCCCCACCCACTACGCATGCGTCAGACCGCCTTCTGTTTCTCTGCTCCTCCCCCCACCACCCAACCGCCCCGGCCCCCAAACCACGTGTTATCGCGTCATCACACCCGCCCCCTCCCTCCCAAGGCATCCTGGGACATGTAGTCAGGTTCCCAGAGTACACCGCGGGCTGATTGTCAGGTCGGGGTTGGGGCGGGTTTCACGCCCAATTGGGGCGGTTTTTTTTTAAATTTTTAAAAAAAAATAATTAATAATCCTTCGCATTTGTGGGGGAGAGAAACCAAAAACTTTTGCAGGTTTTTAAAATAAAAAAAAATGAGGCTCCCGCCCAAAATCTTGTGTTTTTTTCACGCGGTTATAGCCCCCCCCCAAAAAAACCCGCCCAATTGGGCGTGAAAACCGCCCAAACCCGACACTGATCCATAACAACCGAGAGAGAGAGAGAGAGAGACTGAGGGGGGAAACGAGTGAGAGAGTGAGAGAGAGAGAGAGAAGGTGAAAGTGATCCGTGACGTTGCTCCGGCGGCTGAGGGACCCAGTGAGTGACCAGGCCTCAGGCCTCGGCCTCCCGCCCGCCCGGCGATGCCCAAATACTATGAGGAGAAGCAGGAGGACCCGCGGCCCTGCTCCGGCATCAGGGAGGACCTGAGGGGCTGTCTGCTGGAGCACCACTGTGTGCTGAAGGTGTGTGTGTGTGTGAGAGGGGGAGAGGGAGAGCCGCCACTCCCACACCGCGGCTCTCAGTCACCGGCTATCCCGAGTGACCAGAAAAGCGCACAGTCACTACACTTCGCGGTGTATCCCGTGGAAGGGCTTCGAGACGTCTCGACGACGTGATAAAGCCGCCGTCAAATACACAGCATCACTACTGTCCCCCTCCCCCCCCCCTCTGACCCCCTCCCCCAACCCCCCCTCCCCCTCCTCTGACCCCCTCCCCCCCCCCCGACCCCCTCTCTGACCCCTCCCCCAACCCCCCTCCCCCCCGACCCCTCACTCTGACCCCCTCCCCCCCCCCCTCCCCCTCTCTGACCCCTCCCCCAACCCCCTCCCCCCCCCCCTCCTCTGACCCCTCCCCCCCCCCCCTCTCTGACCCCCTCCCCCCCCCCCCCCTCTCTGACCCCCTCCCCCCCCCCCCCCGACCCCTCCTCTGACCCCCTCCCCCCCCCTCCCCCTCCCCCCCTCTCTCTGACCCCCTCCCCCCCTCTCCCTGACCCCCACCCCCTCTCTCTCTGACCCCCTCCCTCTCTCTGACCGCCCCCCCCCTCCCCGCAGCTCGGGGCAAACCCTCATGCCCAGCCCCCGGGGGGGGGGGGGGTGTCCTCCCAACGCGGAAGGTGCCGCGTAAATGCAATTTGTCGTTGTTGTTATTATTGTTTCGCCCACAAATACACGGTGTGTCCACGCTGCAGCCTATTCTGCGAAGCGCTGTGAGGCGTCGAGAAGACGAGGTGAGTCTCATATCCTATCACTCACGGCAAGTGCAAGGAGAATTATATTCACGGCCTCACGACTTGAGCGTTAGTTACAAGTTAGACCGGACACGAATTATCAGGAGTTTGCCGTAACTTATTGTTTTAAATAAACGCGGCAGCCAATTGCGCACAGCAATGTCCCACAAACAGTCGTAGATTGAAAATGACCAATTTATTATTGTTTTTGGTTTTGGAGGGATTATTATTAGGCTCTGTGTGGAGTAAGGAAACTTGCCCAAGGTTTCGCCCTCTGCCTGGAATTGAACTCAGGTCTCTCACTTGCAAAGCGAGTGCTCTAACCACTACAGGAAGAGAGAGGAGATTCCTCCCATTGTCTGGGCCAACAATCAATCCCCCAATTAACTTACTGTCAGTCATCTGATTTGTTAAGTACCATAATATATGCTTTAATCATCTTTATAATGTAATTTGTCAGTGTATCTTGTTGATGTAAAATCCACAATACGGGTTGCATCCGTCCATTAGCGTCCAATTTGAAATACAAATAATTCTTCCATTTGAAACAATGCCAAATCATTTCAAAAAGGTACTTCACCCAATGAGTCATCGTGAATTATGTCGGCAAACTTGGCAGCTAATATATACCAGCAGTGCCCGAGGAGCAGCAATGAAATGACGGACGGATTATTTTAACACCCGAACCATCAGACTGAACCTCACGTAAGGCTGTGTCCCATAAATGGTCGTGGATGAGTAACCAATTTTTTTTAGGAATTATTATCCCCGGAAAAGCGATCCACCAATCACTTAACAACCGGGTTCCTACTTACCGCTAAGTAAACAGGTGTGTGGATTAAGGAAACTTACCTAATGTTTCACTCTGCCCAGGAATCAAACCCATGTCCTGGTTTGGCCCTGGGACGAGGGCTCTAACCACTGAGCTACAGGACTCCACAATATTTATACAAACCTAAAAAAAATTCAATCTGGGTTTTGGACAATAAAAAATCAGCCTTAACAGGCGTCTAAAGCCATAACTGTATGTGCTGGTATGTGCTTAACTACCGTACAATACACTAAAACTTGCGTAAGTCTGACCTGTATAAATCGTATAATTGCCTAAATCATACATCTGCCCAAGTCCCGTTGAATTTCTTATAACTTATGCAAGTTTCACATAACTCCTACTTAGTATAAGTCACATTAAATGCATCGTCCCATATGATATGATTTATTTGTGGTTTCCTGTATACACTTGTTGAAATAATTCAGTTTGAACTTCTGTGCACTGAAAGTTGCCTAAAATGTTTTTAATCTGTACTCCCAAGTAGGAAGGAAAATCACCAAAACAATGTTTAAAGGAAGGCCACTGCAGGGCGCTACAGGTTACTTTCTTTGAGTGTAAAAGATCTTTGGTACGTATCTATTTACCCTGATCGTCTTTTTGCATGAATTTGGCATAATTTGGGCGTTTATTCACTCCAAAACACATTATAAATTGGGTATTGTCGTGTTTACAGTTATACAGTACTAAACAATTGCCTGTTTTCTTTAATGTGCAACTTTGCTGTATAAGTCTTTGAAGGCAGAAGAGCTTATTTCAGCGGAGTGATACATAGCTTTGCTTTGCTTCCACTCAAAACCAGTTTGCTTTTATTACGTGAACATGTCTGACCACTGAAAATTGCCGCAATTGCTTTAGACTCCATCATGTAAGTGAATGCAGTGAATAATGTACGACATTTCAATGATTAAAAGTAATTGCATTAATCATCTGCTGCCTATGTGGATCTTTCAAATGTAGATAAGAGAACTATAGTACCAAAGCTGATATAAAGTGTAATGAGACTGTAAAGATGGTGCATTTTCTAACAACCTGTGAATTTTGTTTTAAAGCTGGACACCAGAACTCGGTTCAGAGGAAGAAAAGGATACTGACTGTGAAGAATTAGCACTGCAAAGCTCATGGCATCAAATGAACACAAAATTGTTTTATGTATGAATAAAATTGCATTTACATTATATAAAGGGTGGAAAATTCAAAGTTAAGGCTGTATAGTTTCCTCGGTTAGGAAATATGTTCTGTTTTTCTTAAAACACAAGCAAGAAGTAGTAAAATAAAGGTGAAAAGAATAAATGTTAAATAAATGAGTTTTCTTACGGCTCATACCTCTGTTTACCTCGCAGTAAACAGGAATTAGTTTTTTAGTTGGTTGGCGGATCGCTTTCTTGCGGTAATAATCCCGCCAAAAGATGTATTAAAAATGGGGGGTTCCAGGGCATGAAGGGATTTAAATACACGAGTGAGGATCTGGATCCGCTCTGTGACAGGGAGCCAGCGGAGTTTGACAAGGACTGGGGTAACGGAGGCACGGAGTTTAGTGCGGGTGAGAGCGGAGTTTTAAACGAGTTGAATTTTGTGAATGGAGCAGCAGGGGAGACCAGCGAGGAGGGCGCCATTAGTATTTTATTGAATAATCATAACGCTAGGCGAATATAATCGTTTTGTGCACATCCCGATAGGGTTTGGAGCCTGACAGGTTCAATACCCAGTCTGCTGAACTCTGTCTTTAACACAGTGGGTCGAATGGCCTTCTCCTTTTTTTTAAAAAAAAAAGTGGTATAGTTCTGACAAGGCAGCAGTGAGAGCATCCACGAGCTTTGCGAGGAGTGGGGGAGGGAGGTGTGTGGTACGAGCTATAGTTTCAAGATGACAACACCAGCCAGTGATATCTGCTGGACAGTAGAAATCCGCTGAAGTCAGCTGAACACAACGGCGAGTTCACCGTATCCCCCTTCCTCCACAGGTAAAACAGTCTACTGATTTACCCCATCGCCTCAACACACACGCGCGATGCTGTGGCCCTAATCCTGCACTTTCTTCATTGCTGTGCAGCATCTCACTCGCTTGCTATCCTACAGGAAGTTCTTTTGAGTCGCTCTACCCGCTTGCTGGGGTGACGGTCTGTTGTGCTTACAATCGCACTCACTCGCGGCCTCTTTGGCAATAGTTTTGGGAGTCGATGTTTGTTACACGTTGCCCACCCATCCAAGTTCCTACACGACCCCTTTCGTGTATCTGTTCTAAAAATGAGGGCAGTCAATCCTTTCAGTTGACAGGAACTGGTCTTAGTTCCCCTTAGAAGCTTTGAGGTTTGGTTAACCATTGGAAATTCAACATGGACCTTATTTAAGGTTTCGTTTTCACGTACGATAGCCTTCAATGTTTGCCTTTGGACTACGCTTAAGCTGTTTGAAATGCTGACGGCCTATTCGTGCGGCGGTTCTGTACGGCTCCCCGGGTTTTCTTGATTCCGCATCACTCATAACTTCAAAGAATTCTAAACGAACCTCACTAAGTTTCCCTACAAAATACACAGTCACTCCACTCGAAAACGTGGAACTGTACGGTATCACAACAGCCCAAGTGTTAGCTCTTGGGACTAAACCGGTCAATGAGTGCCGTTCGATTTGCACGGCCTTGTTCAATCGCGAATCGCCGGCTGCCACCCTGAGATACCGTTCCAGATGTGTAGAGAAAATCAGGTGGAAGTACAGTATTAATTAATTAAGAGCAACAATTAATACAGCGCCATTAATGCAGGGTAGCGCCTCGGAGCGTCTCCGGCTGCTGCGTTTACAGTCAATTCGCTTCACAGTATATTCTGCGAAGCACGACGAGACGTCTCGAAGATGCGATGAGGGGCCGCGTCGAACGCAAGGATTATTATTATAGCGTATTATTACGAATGATAAAACTGTACGATTCGCTCTCTCTCTCTCTCTCTCGCTCTCTACCGCCCCGAATGAAGAGCGAGAGTTGAAACATTCAGTGTAGCCACAAGGGGGGCAGTTAGTAGGAAGTGTGTCTGAGACGGAGGATGTCGCCTGTACAATAGTGAGGCCGTGTTTTGAATAGCAAGTCTGGAGGGTCCATCCTCTTCCTGCCCAGAAAGGGGAGGGAGGGTGAGGGAGAGACAGTGCCGGAGAGCAGGGCAGACGCACACGATGCAATGACACTGGGGGGCAAAAGGGGAGGGAGGGAGGTTCGGAAGACATTGCAAGAGGGAAGAAATACACATCACCGCCACCAAACCCTCTCGCAACATCCTGCTGCCTTGCACCTGTTCGGCCAAGGACGTCAGTCAAATTGATTGCGGTTTGCCCTGAGCTACATCAGCAAGAAATCAAGCGGGAGGAGGAGGCGGAGGAGGAAGGGCGTGAGGGGGGGGATATCAGTCTGTCAGAGCAAACCAGGGGGTGAGAGGAGCCCTCGCATTCTCCATTGATACGGTACGTCAATTTCACTCTGATATTCTGCTCCGGCGGATACAGTGTCACAGCGATTGATACAGTGTTACAGCGATTGATACAGTGTTACAGCGATTGATACAGTGTTACAGCGATTGATACAGTGCCACAGCGATTGATACAGTGTTACAGCGATTGATACAGTGTTACAGTGATTGATACAGTGTTACAGCGATTGATACAGTGTTACAGTGATTGATACAGTGTCACAGCGATTGATACAGTGTTACAGCGATTGATACAGTGTTACAGTGATTGATACAGTGTTACAGGGATTGATACAGTGTTACAGCGATTGATACAGTGTTACAGCGATTGATACAGTGTTACAGTGATTGATACAGTGTTACAGCGATTGATACAGTGTTACAGCGACTGATACAGTGTTACAGCGATTGAGACAGTGTTACAGCGATTGATACAGTGTTACAGTGATTGATACAACGTTACAGCGATTGATACAGTGTCACAGCAATTGATACAGTGTTACAGCGATTGATACATTGTTACAGCGTCTGATAGTGTTACAGCGATTGATACAGTGTTACAACGATTGATACAGTGTCACAGCGTTTGATAGTGTTACAGCGATTGATACAGTGTTACAGCGATTGATACAGTGTTACAGCGATTGATACAGTGTTACAGCGATTGATAGTGTTACAGCGATTGATACAGTGTTACAGCGATTGATACAGTGTTACAGCGATTGACACAACAATGAAATGTCTCCATTCTGTGTTGCACGGGTTGTGTGTGTGTGTGTGTTCCTGTGTGGGTGTGTATCTGAAGGGAGAGAAAAGGGATGATAAATATTCGGACAAATAGCTCCGAAGTTTCCCCGTTTCTCATGGCTCTTAAGGGTTGGAAAGTCAACAACAACAACAACAATTTGCATTTATAGAGCCACCCCTTTCCAAGATAATAGGATGGTTTAGGCTTGAACCGCAGTGAGGCGGTGGAGCTGGTGGTGAGGGAGAGAATTCCTCCTACAAAAGGAGCAATGAATGGGGTTTGGAATGAGGCATTTTGCATCTCTTCCCGCACCTCCCCCCCCTCATCCATCCTCCCACCCCCCGCCCCCTCATCCACATCCATCCTCTTCCTCCCATCCATCCCCTCCCCCCTCATCCATTCCCCCCCCCCCCCCCCCCACTGCTGGAACTATAATCTGTTGTATTTTTTTTTGGAAGTCAATTAATGTATCTCAATGCTAATGGTTTCCTACCACACAATACATTTGAATAGGAATGGCTGTATTGTGTTTCTTACAGCCTGACCTGCCCTGGTGTTAGCCACCAACACTGTTTCAGTGTGGAGCGTTGGTTCGTTGGTATTATTCTAAGCTTACAGTAATTTAGAGGAACATGGTTGTCCGTTAAATGGGAAGCTGCAGGGTTAATTCATTTACATTTATTCCGAGTGTCGCTAAAATGACACCGGCATTTGCCCTTAGTGACAACAACAACTTGCATTTATATTTTGCCCTTGCAAAATGTAAATATATTTCTCAATACATCTATATTTCAACTTGCGTTTATAGTTATGTTCCTCCCACAAATATACGGTCTCTTCACTTTTACAGTACGTTCTGCGAAGAGCTTTGAGGCATCTCAATGGCGTGATAAGAGGCTATATCAAATTCAAGGATTATTATTACGTAGCGTCCTTCATGCAAGGAATGTCCCAAGCGCTAGACACTATATTTTTATTTTATTTTTAAACAAAGTGCTGCCCCCCTCTTCCCCCTCTTCCCCCCCCACCCCTCTTTCCCCTCCTCTTTCCCCCCCAACCCCCCAACCCCCACCACCACAGGTTTGTGTTTTTTTTGATAAGCGGTTTTATCCTCCAACAGTGCCCCAACTCACACTCTGGGGTCCCCGAGCCTTGACTCTCGCCAACCTATGCTTAACACTTTCCAGAAATAGATAAGCGGGATGCGTTCCTCCAAGACCGTGCATTCTCATTATAACAGTCCATCACTGGGATTTCCACGTGTAAATGGAATGATGGACCTCTCGGTTTGGATACTCTTAAGCATGGGGATGGATTTCCAGATGTGCCAGACACCTGGCTGCCCCCCAAAAAAATTGGAGGTACCATTCCACGGATACTCTCCGAGAGACAACTATTGACCATCACGAAAGCTGTCTAGCTTTGCGATCATGCTATCCAGTGCGCATCCACACACGTGAACTTGCGTGTTCACATACAGCCCACGTGCATGAACTTTCTAGTAGTGGTCTCTCTGCGTAGAGATCAGGAATGGGAACGAGGGTTCGTTTTGCTCTTTTTCCCCTTCCCGAACCCACGAGGGCGCTGAGGCGAAGTTTAACCTGGATTTTCGAAGCTTAAAGAACAAGTGAAGGGTCAGGGAACTAGATTTTTCAAATAGATCCATTCCCAAATCTCCTGCTGCTCTTTGCACCTTTAGCAGAGAGGGTTCTGTGCTGTCCAAAACACCACCACCACCACTAACAACAACAAATGACATTTGTACAGCACCTTTCGCGTTGGGCGGACAGCCCAAGGTGCTGGACAGTCAAGGAATTGGACTCAAACTGGGGGTTGGGATCAGGAGGGGCGTAGGGCAAGGAGGAGTGGGAGTATAATACCATTTCTTGGGAGGGAGAGAGGGCCTTTGAATCATTTGTTTCAGTCAAACAGATAGATACAAGCAGGGGTTGAGTGGACTGACTGGAAAAGCAGCAGAGAAATATTGATTCCTCAGCCCTGCAGGAGAAGGAGCTTCCATTTGCTGTTTTTTTTTTAAATCTCTGGGTTTTTATTTAATTATATGATCGTGAAACATCCTCTTTGTAAAGGCCAGGCGGTGGTACACTCAGTGATTTCTTTTACCAACAGTGATCCATAGTATTTACTAAATGGAGGGGATACGCATTATTACCCTTCGCAGAACTTGAAGGAGAATAATTGTTAAGTGCCAATTTAATGTCCCTCCAGATTACCAGGAGAAACTTTAACAGTGAACAGATTATGAACTAATGACGGGTTTTGCGGAGGATACCATGTCACTTTAATGAAGTGGTTGTGAATGGCAGTTTGCTACTTGTCTTGCGTGTGGCAGCAATCACGCTTTGCCAGTCGGAATCGTTCTTCCTGGTGGAGTTCAGAAGCAGGCAGTTTAGCCACAGCAATGAAAGGGACATGGGCGCACCGACCACTGATGGGAAACAGAGGCAAACAGCAGAGACGTGGCAATGATTCGAGGCCGGATGGATGCCGCGTGAACGTAGTTACTGCAGCGAAGAAAGAACGGGCTGCGCAGAACGTTACACCACCAGCCTGCATCCGAATCCGGATACGTTTTCATAATAATAATAATAATCCTTACATTTGATATGGGGGTATGCATCGGGTTGTGGGTTCAAGTTCCATGTCGGGACTTGAGTTTGCATAGTCTAATCTGACACTCCAATGTAGTCCTGGGGGCGTCAGAGGTGCCACCCTTCGGATGAGCCGTTAAACCAAAGTCCCATCTGCCTGTTCAGTGGATGTGAAAGATCTCATGGCGCTATTTGAGACGAGAAGGGAGTTTATCCCAGTGTCCTGGCCAACAATCTCCCCGAATAAAAATTCGTCACACGCTCCATGACTGTTCGTGCGACACTGCTGTGTGTACTTGTGCTGCCACCTTTGACCAAAAATACACAGTCACTCCATTTCACAGTAATTCATGTGAAGTACTTTGAGTCCTCTTTCTGTGCCAAAAGCTGTGCCAAAAGCAAGAATTATTATTATTAATACAAGCACACAGTCACTAGATTTGATAGCAGTTACCGGTGAATACTTTCAGACAGCCGGACAGTATAGGCATTGTATCAAAGGTGATTATTATTATTGTTAAAGGATGCAAATACCCGACGTGTCTTTGAATGCTAAACTGAATAGTCTTACCCAGTGGCAGCCCATGTCCATAGCCAGGAGAGGGCAGCAACCGTGTGTAACACACGTGAGTCTTGTTCAGGATATTAAGCGTCTTGCCCAGCCTGTGAAAGTGTGTCCTATCGGTTCTGTTCAGAATAATTGGGCCAACCCCTCCCTCTCCTGCAGAGATCGGGGGTGGGCGATGTGACGCAGGATGGAAGAAATGAGAGAGGAGGCGGGTGCATGGCAATAATACAGGGGAGAAGGTTGGAGGTTTGTCAAATAACAAATAGCAGGTACCGACCGACCTACTGCCAGGCTGGTCTCTGAGGAGATTGCATCCATCCAGACTTATCCCGCATCAGCAGCGGGGAAGGAGCTTATCGGAGTAAACTGAGCACCAGGAGCCTGCAGTGAGGTAGACAGACTCTCTCTCTCTCTCTATCGTGCGCGCTTTGCTTCCTCTGCACGGACACTTCACAACATATCTGTGAGACTGCATGTGTTGTGGTCGTGCCTGTGAGGATTGCTGCATTGAAAAGAACGGAACCATATTTTAATAATAATAATCCTTGCGTGTGATATAGCGCCCTATCAGGTTTTCGGGACGACTCAAAGCGCTTCACAGAATACACTGTAGACGTGAATTGACTGTATTTTATTTATGAAACGAAAGTTTTAAATCAATCAAAATGGGAGTGGGGTGGAGGGATGGAGGGAGAGAGACAAGATATGCAGGTTTTTTTTTGTTTACTGCTCTGCCATGTGAAGGCTATAAGTTGCTGTTTATTTGCTGAAGCTGTGACTCTTCTTAATGGTAAAGATCCTTCAGAAAAACAGGCTGGTTGCAAGGGAAATCTTAGGTAGCTTTTTGTCACTTAACAGGAGAAGGTATTGTGGTATAACCAACGATAACAAAAATGGGAATTTATACAGCACCTTTCATGGTGGGAGGACATCTCAATGCGCTTTCCACAGCTGACTGGGTTGGGAGTCTGAGGTAGTGATAAGCGGGGATGAGGTGACTGAAAGAGCGCTCGGAAAAAATGGGTTTAAGAGACGGAGGGAGGCAGGGGGCAAAGCTGAGGGATTCA